AGGATTTCATAGCGCACACTGCAGATTGTGTATGTATTATATTATACATGAGCTGCTTGTGGATAAATGATGTATTGTCGAGTACGTAGACTTATCGAGAAGGTTTGAAACTGCGATATATGGCGTGCATATAACATTTGTATTTGTAATAGATTTTGAAAACTTCATAAATGACTGTCAAGATTGTCGCGATACATTTTTAATTGATGCGTCTCCTACTAGTACGACTTGATATGTTTAATTTTTGACTGCATGAAGCATAATTGTGCTGGATTTTCAAACGATTTTACTTGGAAACGCCGAGTCATGTAAAGCAATCAGGTCATCGTGTCACCAGATACGAAATGTTTCGACTATTAAAAGACTATACTATGTACGATTAATAGAACAGCTTTAAAATTCATTTTGCGAAACACTTTTTGCGGCTTAGAAATGCAACGAGGATATCATTTGTCACGTGCATTACGTTATGTATTGAATAAATGTATGACTCTATTCGCCGATCGGATCGCGATTTCTCACGAAGTTCCCCATTACGTCGTAAACGCTAATCGCTAAAATACGAGCGAATCGGATATCACCTAGCTTGGCTGCGTTGCCATTGTGGGTTTTTCTTAAAACATTTCATTTACGAGTTATTTTCATTTAAAAGTTCAAATGTGCGCTTTTCCAGCTCTCGGAACACCTGATGAAATCAACTACTCTCGCACGGAATTTGAGAGCACAAAGTGTGGCATAAAAGGAATGCACGTATGATAACGCATGGTCGGTTATCTGTGGTCGCATTGCACTAAGTACGGGAAAAGCAAAGGATGAAAAGAAAAAAAAATAATACTTTGCAACTGTTGCCGTGCGTGACGCGTGACAATTAACGCGGATAGTTGAACTTGTTGCGCGCAAACGAGAGTCGGGCCGAGTGAAAAAGAGTCTAATCGAAAATTCGTTTCACATTAAATCATAGATGTATAATTGTTCGTAGTAGCTTTAACTAATTCAACACAATCTTGCAACTTTTAATCCAGTTTGAGTCGGGTTGACGAATTTCACTCAATTTTCACGTAAAATTGTCGATTTGTGTTTTATATTCAGTGCTCTTATTACTGCTCAAGCTCTCTCAAAGTCACGCTAAAATTTTATGAAATCAAAGGATTTGCAATAAAACTAATATCGAGGACACAAAGAAAAAAAACATCCCATGTCTCATTTGTTCAATTAACCACGATTTTTTTTAAATTTTTATAACAAAACTGGTAATCTGTAATACTATACACACAATGATTAATAAATGATCAAATTCAATATGAAATCTAGATTTGCTCTCAAAAAATAGCAAATTTTAGTACCTAATCGGTTTTTATTTGTAATTTTCTAGCTCATTTCACATGGTTTAATATATTTGAATAGTTTAATTGATGTGATGAGTGATAATTAAATCATATTGAACAATAACACAATAAAAAAGATGATTTTGAAACTTTGGTGGTTTGACGAAAACGAAATTGACCAATGCATTCTAAATATTGAAAAGAAAAAAAATAGAGAGAAAGCAAACGCAAACAATAAACATAAGTCAAGGACGTCGGGTGAGAATATGCAGTGTACAGCTTAATATGCCTCACAAGTACTCATTTAAATAATTTTCAGAGTAACGCCTTTGCAACTATTGAGTAATTATGTCGAGTTTCTCCAAGGAAAATCTAGCTTTTCGCGTCGAGATATTGCAAAGGCCACGAAACTTTGAAATAATCTTTGGACATCGCGACGATAGATACAAAAAATATATTGCCAAGGTGGATTAATACGCGCGAGAGCTGGTACAAGGAGCAAAGCTGTAAATTTCACGTGTAGTGCGGCCTTGTTGCATTATTCTATGCACTACATTGGTGGCTGGCGTCGTGGTCAATCCAACTTATACGGCATACATATAGCATATAGAAGCGCGTTTGAGAGTTCACGTCACAACGAGCTATAAATAAAAAGCTTGTTTACGCGGTGTTCAAATAATGGAGCCAATTCCGCGAGCGCCGCGGCGCGCATATTTTGCGATATTCATCGAACTCGTCCGAGCGTCGTGTGTTTTGTCGCTCTAAGGAAAAACTTTTTCGTGTTTTCCCCGCACAAGCGAAGTACGCATGCACGAGAGCTATTCCGATGCTCGAACATGTGCGCAAGGAGGCATATTGCAAAAAGTCCAAGATTAAGCGGCGCGAAACTCCTCTCGAGTACAGTTTTACGATACGAGTGGAGGGAGAAAACCGCACACGGCGGATTACGCACTGCTGCAACTGCACTCGGTACACGACGCGAGATTAGCGCGCAGGCTAAATTGTAAAATGTCACCTACTCCCTCTCCGTGTCGCGTTTGGCTTGACGCAGCCAAAAAACCGGTGTGTCGAGTTGGAGCTTCTCGCTCGGCGCGTGCCTCGAGCGTCTCTCTTAATTTTAATATATGCTCGCGTACTAGGTATAAGCACTTTATTGCTCGTTTATATATTACACGACGGTACGGGTGCGAAACGCCAAGGGATTTATCTCGCGCCGGTGGTCGCGCTCTGGCTTCGCTGCCTCGCCTCTACGTGTCGGTGCACGCGACATAACGAGAGGATGATGGTAATGATGAGGCTTTATTGGCTTTGAACTATATAAATTATGACGTGCACACGACCCGCTAACTACATTACGTGTGGCTGGTCATCTGCACGACCGTTTCGCAGCAAACAACGTGTCGTCCTGTGCAGGTGTAAGTATGCGGGTTGACCTTTTGAGCTGCTGCCGCTGCTGTTGCTGCGGATATTTGCAAATCCACGAGATCTCGAGAAAACGAGCTTAATCCTTGATTACACTCGTTCGTGGCGTGTGTGCTTGTGTGTGTCTTTCTCTTAGAGCTTCGACGATATAATACGTTGAACCTCCAGCTTCTGTATTACTTATATATATATTATATATGCCTTTGCTGTGCAAAGTTTTAACGAGTCTTTACGCGCTATAAACTTCAAATCTCAAGGTAAACTCGAAAGTTTCGTAATGCAAAGCTCAACCCAAGCGCGCGCACGATTAAACAACGCACGGGGCACGTTTTTCGAACCCGCCCCGCACATACTTTTAACCGTTCTCAACCTGAATCGATAAATTTAAGCGACCTAAAGCTCGTACATTTTTCGAGGTCAAAGCCGTGCTTGCGAGCTTTCGTCGCACCGGAAGCGCTTGAAACTTTTATTTTCAACACTATTTTCGGAATGACCATTCGGCTATGTGGAGTTACTATCGATAAATCGAATTAAAAAATTTCGATCGTCTTCGCCTATGATGCATCGACTAGAAATCTCCGACCAATGCGCACCGTGTGCCAACGTAAACAATTTAGACAATAAAATGCAGCAATGATACTATACAATATGTAATATGAGACGCGAAAGTAGTCGAAGCAACGTAATTCTCGCGTAGTCATAAGTTTTCGCGTACGAGTAGCAAGCAGAAAAACACCGACAGACAGATACAAGAAGCACAGATTTGACTTTTAGTTTTTAAGCTGTTGTTTGAGCAGCAAAATTTGTGCGTAGTGTCGCGAGCCACGCTACAACTACACGCGTGATGAATGTCGTTGCAAGACCCACGTAAGAAGATTGAAAAGTAAAACAAACAAAAGCGACTAACTTTTTCTTCTGCTCGCTCTCGAGTGGGTAGAAAAATTCCTCAGAAATTCTTCGTTATACACAGAGTCACAAACTGTTTTTATCGGCTAGCAAAAATTCGGCGAAATTGCCAAAGCCGCGCCAAACGCCGTGATACAGCAGACACAAACTATTGCATACACACAACAACTGCGCGAAAGAGAGGCGAGATCTATCAGCGACTCAATGATTTGGCCTCTTCGAATACGAAGTGTCTTAGCTCGACTCACGCGTTCGGAACGAGACTGGCCCAGTTCTTGCGTGGACGACTCTCTCGCGCACTCAATATACACATTTTGCGGGAGCAGCACGCGCAGAAACCGGCGACGACGGCGGCAGCAGCAGCAGCAGTGCAGTATACTCACTGCGCTGAGCTCATGATGCTATTCGCGCTCACGATCGTGTATTGTACTGCCTGTACGTGTGTAGCTGTACCGCATATGTGTGTGTCAACTGAACGCATCGGCGAGAATGCGTCAAACGATCCGAATCAGGCGCACGATCGCCTTTGGAAAGTAGCTTACGATGTGTGCGACAGTACTTACTTGGGCACGAGCACCTACGTACCCGCCAGGTCGTCATAGCTCATAATTCTCTCACATATTCAAACGGTCGACTTGTTTACGGAAGATTTCCACTGTCATTTGCTGCGTATATATTCCTAACTTGCACATAGATGCCCTCTTAAGTACCTATGCGACTTTCGAGAGAGATTTTAAGTAGCTTATATGCACATCTCATGATTTAAAATCGAGCTCTGTTGCTTATTTGCAAAGCTTAAATTGTTTACGAGACAGAGAGAAAATACAGATGCGCTATACTGACGTTGCATTTAGCTGATTATTATGCGAATTACCCCAGGAGCGCGAAGTGAACACTCTGCACGCACACATTATATGTACCTGCGTCACTATAATTGTAATTAACCTAATGAAAATTCATCAGGTATATATGAGAGAGTTGCAGACATACACGTTCAATTCGCACGGTATAAATTGTCTTTTACTCTCTCATATTACTATAGCTATACATGTTGTTTGTGCATGTACAAATCAGCATGACACGATACCAGATGATTGCGATTGAAGATTTTTGAAACTGTTTACAAGACGAGTTTCTTGCTTTATTTGTATGGTACGATTTTCATCCTCGCACAGGAAATTCCTGAAAATTTCATTCAGAAGTACTTGAATAATTTATGATCTGCACCATGGATTGTTGATTATTCATGTTATATTCGACTGTAATGCCAACAAACCTTATAAACCGCAATGTTTGTATCATTGATACGACTCTGTTTGGTCATTGGTGGAATAAACTTTTCTGTAGAGTTAGGGAGAATTTTTTATTTGACAATCATTGACGATAGGGGGCAGCAATGCACGTCAATGAACTGTAAAGTGTAAACGGTCTGTCTCTCACTACGAGTATCTGTATCCACGGGACTCCCTGTTCTTATTCAACGGCTTTTTGCAGTTTTCAGTGAAGAGTGAAGTTTAAGGTAAAAAAAGCATACATATTGAGGTACAAAATGAGTTTAAACTATACCAGCATATGGAAAAACGCTATAATACCGAAAGGTATGACGAGAGGACGCTTGCTTTACGAGGAACTCAGTCGAACGTTGGACGACGGAGAGGATTTTACTGATTTTGCCACATCAACCTTGAAGAAAATTTTGAGCCATTTCACTAACTTGGATAAAAATGAAATTTTAATGTACGCAGTTAAATACGAACGAATGGTTATAGTTGATTGCTTTGCCAAAGCTGAAACCAAAATTAGTAATCTTCCCCAGTTTACCAAAACGGCTATTCATGAAATTGACCGTAAAGATAATTATTACTTGTTATGTAATATTTACGATGACGTCAATTACATCGATGAAAATGGTTATTCACATTTTCACGCGGCTTGCAAGTTTGGGAACGATGGAGCTGTGCAGAGGTTCATCGATCAAGGCACTCATATAAATATTACCTGTTCGATAAGTAATGTTTTTGATCATACACCTCTGGATCTGGCAGTTTTTTATGAACATGTACAAGTAGTTCGATTACTACTGGAAGCAGGTGCTCGTGTAGATGATTGCGATATGTTTGGAATGACACCCTTAAACCGTACCTGCCTGAACATAGGGGCCAATGTATTTTGTGATTTGGAAATTATTCGAACTCTTGTAGATTTCAAATCTGATATTAATCTGAAAGATAATATAGGTAACAGTTCAATAGTCAATTTATTTTCTGGTGATATCATAAGTCCTTACCATAAGGAAGTATTGCAAATACTTCTAAAAAATGATGTACATGTTGCGGATGTTGACAAAGTTGCTCAGAGAATATTGTCCCTAGCTGATCCTAACGAATTTTATAAGATGCAACATTATTTTAAATTCTGCGAACGAAATCGGAATACAACTATTATCGAGATGATACAAATACTACTTGAACGAGGTGTCGATATAAACGCCAAAGGACCAAATAATGATTCACTATTAGATCTCGCTATATTTCACAATAATTACGATTTGGTCAAATTTTTTTTGGAACGTGGCGCTAATATGGATGGCGTAAAAATTGAAGCTCAGCTACTATATAGTTTAAGTCGGATTCCTAAAAATTTGGAAATGATACGAAATGTTTTGAATATAATTGATCTCTTGGAAGAGAACAGAAGAGGATTTCAAATGAACAACAATTTACATCTGACCTTAGGTGTGATCAAATTTTTCATTCAGCCCAATCCAAGTGCAGATTTTATTTTTGATACTGATGATGATAGCGATGATTCTGATGATGGGATCAGCACAACTGAATTAGGTAACGAAATTGAATTATATCAAACCTGAAATGTAGTTTTTTATGTACTATAAATTTCCTGTGTGATAACAAAAAATATGCATTTGTAATATAATTCCTTTTTCATCAGGTCCTCTCACAGCAGGATTTGTACAATTTCTTAATAACCCGGGTTTTGATCGTAATTTTGGAACTTGGATAGCTATTATAGAAGAAGGGAAAATGTTCATGGATATGAAAAAACTTGATCATCTTCAAAAGTGGAAACAAAATGCTTTACTGTCTAAGACTAAAATTAATAAGCGCACAAAGATTTCTAAATATATTAATAAAGCTAAAAGTACAAAGATGAGCAATGGGCATTCTCTTTTAGAGCTTTGTACTTCTAGTCCTAAACAAACTTATTCACTGCTACGGAATTCGGAATATGAATCTATAGTGAATTCTGAAGATTTTATGGAAAAATTTGGTCCCGTAGGAGGAGTTGTTAGAGCATACATTACTGAAAGTATTGTCAAAAGATATTTGGCACGTAAGGGTCAGGAGTTCTTGCGTTTATTGATTCAATTTAATTTACCAGATCTTTGTTGTGAGAATATTATTAAATATTTAGACGACGATGAACTATTTTTGATGTGTCAATCAGTTGTATTTTAAAAGTATGAGTTGTATCAGGTATATTTAATTTAAAAAGCAATTTCACTGTGTTAATGTTATGAACAATTTACCAATATTGAGATTGCATTAGCTATTTATTAAACTATTAATGAAACTGTTAATAAGATATAAGATTCAAAATAAAAAAATTATGTCTTAAATTATGTACTAATTGATTATTCAAATTATTTCTAGTTTTAAAATGATATATGTGTCACAGTGTGTATTTTGTTCAGATAAGGGTTTACAAGTACCTTGGTAAAATCATAGATTAAATATATTTGAATTCTCTATAAAAAGGATGATGGGCAGTTAGGCACTCAGTGAATTTTCTATTGTACCCACATGACAATTGTCTATAATGCCAAACATATGCATATGCACAGCATATCAAAGACAAGTTTCATCATCTTTGATAATGGCAGTGGATATATCGAGATGCGAAATCAAATTATACATTCATTGGACTTTTTTCAAGTCTACTGAAAAGTAGAAAAAAATGCAAAGATGAATCGATGGGGCATGAAGTTCAAAGGACATTTACACAATGGTACATAGAAACATTAAAAAGTTGGAAAAGGCTACATTATCGATACACCAGTAAATGTTCGTTTTTACACGTGCTTGACTGAGCGATAAGAAGAATCAAATCGATATTGCAATTGAATTAAGAATTAATGACGTAGCTCGATTATACGCAGACATCGAGCCGCGATCCTACCGACCGCATGTCTACAAATGAAAAACGCCAATCGACCGGCACTGAAACCTACTCTTGTTTCAATGACACGGAGCACTGCGCATTTGAAGTGTATGATATGTTAGTGTGTGCGCCTTGATGCCACGGAGGAAAATATACACAATTAGCGCGTGGTTTTTTCAATTGTCCCTAGGCATGGCGAGGTGAAAATTCAGCTTCGCTACTAACTTCGATCACTCGGTAATTCATCGCCGCTTGAATTATGTCATTATACCGTGATTTGTGTGCACGACTATCGGCATACCGTTTACAGAAAATTATCGATCGATACGCGCACGTCTGTTTATGTTTTACATGAGATCATATTATACACATACGTATAGCACGTTATGAGCATGTGGCATAGGCGCGATTAACGTTGATTTGTCATCGATTTGGATTTACAACCTACTGTAGTGCGTTTACAACGGTCTATTATGATTTATGGATATTTTTGCCCGCTCAATAATTCAACTGCACTTGTGTAGTCGCTGCAGTTCCATTTAACGTTTAATTCGCGAGCACAATCGATCTTACACAATCCTACTGTAATTCGTTCTCCGTTCTTACTGATAATTGTTCTCTTTTGGTGAAAAAATCGTTTATATTCATGGAAATAAAAAAGCTCGTACATTGATCGAAGTATGAAAAATGATATTGGCCACAGATTTTTGAAGCCGCTCGTGTTGACATTACTAAACGTGGATTATCATAGAAAATTTACCAAGCGTTCAAGTTTATCGGTACTTATTTATAGCGCCAATAAATACCCTCCGTGTTATGCGTTAAAAATCTAAGCTGCATTCAAGCCATTCCATTCTCTTTTTATTTCGAAACTCGATCGCGCACTTCTTTGTAAATGAGATTCGCGCGTCAGTGTTTCATGTGAAATCTCGAAAAATCAATACCTTCGTGGTATAACGCTGTAGGTACTTTCGTATAAAGTAGGTGTGGGGAAGGAAGAAAAAATGTTCGCACGCGCAACAAATACACTAAAGCCGAACGCGAGAGAATAATAAAATCATCTCACATCGCTCGAGTGTCAAACACCAAACTAATCTCGCGATGCCGTGTTTCTATTGAGGCGATTTTTCTGCTTTTCATGTATCTATTTGGTCATTGAGTCGCCTACATATTTATATTGTCTTTTATGTTCGTTACACACAAAATTCTCCAACCTCTTCACATTATTTATTTCAAAAATAACGAAAAAAAAATAGAGTGAATTCAATTTTACTGGCTACGGGCAATTCAAAGCCTTGACACGGTTTGAAAAATGATGCGCGTTTTCGTTTCTTATATATAAAAATACGATTTTTCTGCATGAAACTCGTTGTTGCTTGTCGACCAATTCAATGTGGTTTCTTTCGCCGTTTTATGCCCGGACACGCTTACAATGTTTAGCAATTTAGCGAACAACAATCGAAAAAACGCAGTACCTTCTACGATCAACTTGAGTCTGTTTTCGTTCATGGCTGAGGAAAAGCAAATAATATATCTTTTGAACGTACATACATATAAGAAATCGTAATGGAGCGAGATGAAATCATCGTTGGCCCGTGAGCTTGTGCTCGTTACGATTTCAGTCAACAATTTTGATTGAAAAAGCCAAAGGCCAAATAAACGTTGTTTATAATAAGCACGAGCCGATGGATTTATATGGAGGAGAGCGATTAAGCGCATTGATGTGGATGCAAGGTGAATTTCTCGGAAATTATATAGGCTATACGCGAATACGCGCGGGGGTGTGTGGGTGTATTAATGCGCGACGATCGCCAAAGGTAATATTTACCCTGCGACATACGCGCGCGCAGTGTGCGTCATCGCACGGGTATCGGGTTCAAGTATTGACCTCAAATCGAAAACGAATCGTTGCCGTTTATTTTTACTCTGCACTTTAATTGTTGAATTTTTCTTAAAAGGAAAGAACTCGAGGGGAGCTTCAATTTTGCAGTCGCAGATGAAGAGATTTTTCCTTTGCTTTTTTTCTCATAAAATCATAAAATGGGTGAACGAACTGATAAAACTAAAAGTTGTATTTTTATCCCCGAGCGAGCGTAACCGATGATTCACTTTTGCTCATGTATAAGCGTTTTAATAATACGTTGAAAATGAATTCTGTGCGATATACGCGAATTCACTTTCACTGCTTAGCGACGCGTGCGTTGCATTAGTCGTCGTGATCGTCGGGAGCATATTTAAATTCGGAGAAATCTCGCGTTGCTGCTGGATGGCGTCCGCGTGCGATTTGCCAAAAAGCTGCTAACGAAGCGAATAATTGCTTAAAAATAAAAGCTTTTGACGCGACGAGTGCCTCGCGCGTTATTATTATATATTAATATATATTGTATATTAGAGCTTGACGCTGAGCAAAAAAGAGAAATACAAGGCACAGAGAGAAAAGGCAAACGTTTGTATTAGCGCTGATTTAATCCAAGTTTTCAAGTTGCTGCAACTATAAAATATTGAGTTTACAAGCGCCGCACTCGTATTGTTAACAACCTGGATTCGGAATTAATGTCATTTTCTCATCCAAGGTAGCTGTCAAACTTACGTCCGTATGCAGGATGTATCGTTCTGTTTTGGAACTCTAACTACGGTGCGAGTTTTGCCGCAGATGCATTTGTCTGTGTCCGGACAAAAGAAGCCATCGCACAGCGGCAAAAGTAATTTTTTCAGCTGTTGCAATTGTGTTATTTTTCGTTAATCGTAACATTTCCAAGATGATATCACAATATCATCGATCGAATCCTATTTCCTCGGTGAGTCACTTTCCTGCTCGGGTGCGCGACGATGTTTATAAAGGAAAAATAATAAGACATCGCCGGCGCACATGCAGCGATCGGAAGATTTGACCCGAGCATACAATATACAACGTCGCGCGTTGCATAAACCGCCAGATTTCCATTGTGTGCAGATGCTGAAGGAAAAGAAAGTGTAGTTGTGGCTGCTTCTCGTTTGCGTACAATTGTAGTGCCGCTGTCCTTCCTGTGCACGTTTTTCAAGTATACGCTAGGCGTCTACTACCTGCGCCCGTGTAACAGTGACTACGATCTCAAGATCTTAGGCACTCGCTATATGAGCAATTCTCTAAATGAAACGCATTTTTGGAGGTAGAATCGCGGCAAATATTTTTTTCAACCTACGCGGATACGGACCCCCAGGAAATGTTTTTGGGGGTCCTAGGAACATGTAACCACGTAGGAACCATTGAAATTTCAATAGTGCTTACTTTTATAGCTACTTTTGTGATTTAGAGGACGATAAAGCATGTTTTCTCGTAAATACGGCTAATTACTCAATTTCTAAGTCGCTGAAAAAGTATCAAGACTCATCTAAAAAAAATATCTGGCTACTGTGTTTGACAGAAAATTTTCTCAGCTTTCCAATGGTGGTATCAGATTTTCCGACAAGTCGCATATTCATCGAGAAAATCGCCATCAAACGTGCCAAGCTAAGTATCTCGAAAAACTAGGTACGGAAAAAGTGATCTTTGAGGTTTATTTTCGATTTTTCCTCGTGAAAATGAGATTTATCGAAAAATCTGACTACACCATGAGAAAGCTGAGGAAATTTCCTATCGAAAGCATATCTTCATTTATTTTTTCAGTGGAATTACAATGTTTTACATGAAAATTTCTTTTACGTTGTTCGTTGTTTTCTGTTTCCGAGCTGATTCAGCGCGGTCGCGAGGTATTCGGCTCGCTACAATCAAAACTAGCTCGTGATTCCACTGACAAAATAAATGAAGATATGCTTTCGATAGGAAATTTCCTCAGCTTTCTCATGGTGTAGTCAGATTTTTCGATAAATTTCATTTTCACGAGGAAAAATCGAAAATAAACCTCAAAGATCACTTTTTCCGTACCTAGTTTTTCGAGATATTTAGCTTGGCCCGTTTGATGGCCATTTTCTCGGTAAATGTGTGACTTATCGGAAAATTTGATACCACCATTGGAAAGCTGAGAAAATTTTCTGTCAAACACAGTAGCCAGATATTTTTTTTAGATGAGTCTTGATACTTTTTCAGCGACTTAGAAATTGAGTAATTAGCCGTATTTACGAGAAAACATGCTTTATCGTCCTCTAAATCACAAAAGTAGCTATAAAAGTAAGCACTATTGAAATTTCAATGGTTCCTACGTGGTTACATGTTCCTAGGACCTCCAAAAACATTTCCCGGGGGTTCGTATCCGCGTAGGTTGAAAAAAATATTTGCCGCGATTCTACCTCCAAAAATGCGTTTCATTTAGAGAATTGCTCATATACGTAGTGAGTGTGAAACGCGTCTCTAGGCGTTATGTCTTCGGTTGGCCGGCGAGGAATTATATGACATTTGCGCCGATGCAGAGTATACTATAATAGGTCGAGAGATCTGCTGCCACGCGTACCGCGAGAGCTGCATTTTGGAATAATCTCAATTGCACGAGAGAGCTGCAGAGCCCTCGTGATAAATAGCGCGAGGCTGTTGGAAAATTCGAGACACTGCAGCGCGCTCTATAAATACTGTATATAGAGGCAGGCGTAGCGCGCAAAGGATTATACGTTTATTGCGAAAACACGAGTGAGTTTAAATTTATATATTACGCGCGCCTTCGTATACGTCAGTATTTTGCTTTCCAACGAAATCCAGACTTTTTTTTGATTTTTCGTGCGCAAGGGGGACTGCGACACGGATATTAAATATATAACACCTCGAAGCCTGTTATTTTCAGGATAAGAGCCAACTTGTTATTGTTTTCGTCAAAAGTGTTGTTTATGTATACAGCTATACTTTTTCATCTCGATAAGATTAAAAAAAATTTACGCCTTTGAGTTTTTTTTTGGCATGAAATCCGACGCACAGATGCAGTTACGAGCGAGTGTGCTTAAGTGGATTGTCAAAAGTTGCGCTGCACAGATTTTAGAATTTTTTAAACGATGGATCCTCGCACCGCAGCACAGTCAATCGACGAGTTAACGTGTACTCCGACGGAAAGTTTCGCAAGCTCCTCTGTGTGGGACGTAACGCGCGTACTTCCGCACTTTCCTCCATCTTTATTTTTTATTTGACCCTATATGTCGCCGTACAATAAATATACACGCATACGATCGCCGTAACGATCATCAAGTTCGCCACATCAAAGCTTTACACAGCGGCCGGCGACGTACTCTATGCTGGGAGTTGCGATACATGTACGCGGATGCAGATGTTCAATGGCATTTCCTCGCCTTCCCGCTTTTTACTCTCGACTCGTGACCGTCGAGGCAGAAGGCCGCACTCGTATCGCGATTTGTACACAGACACGAGCTCTTGATCGTCGCGCGTTCCAGCACATCACTCGGACTTATCGGCAATTATACACTCGTGTTTGTGTACGCGCATCGAGACTCTCGTTACATGAATGAAGAAGTGTTGAATGGCGCCTGCGATTCGAAACCGAAGCTCGCGCGTACCAAAGCTCCAATTATGCAAATTTCGCATGTAGCTGCGGGTATTTTTGCGAAGGAAAAAAACGACCCACGAGCCGTCGTTGATTGTCTTTCGGTTGCGAGACCGCTGACGCCACCCATGCAGCGAGCGAGCCCGACTGTTTGTCGCGCGTCCGATAGCCGTCCTTTTTTCCTTCTTCTTTTTCTGTCGTCTCGGGAGAAATCGCGCTAGCAAGGATACGAGGCCCGAGCGAGCGAGAGAAAATATGTGCGTCGCGTCGGGTCTCGGCCAAGGAGTTTATAACGCCGAGTCGAGCGCTAAAGCTCGTAAAATTCATCGTGTAGTAGCTCGTTGGTGCCAATCTGCCAATATATGTATTACGAGAAAAAGAGATGGAGAGCTCGAAGCACATCGGAGTCGAGTTCGAGAGCCGCGGCGTGTAAATATACCTATAAACAAGTATATATCATTTCGGAATGCAGCCAAACCAGACGATTATATTGAAACGATAGCAATGCGTGTGCGTAATATAGACACGCACCGATACATGAGCTCGCGCCGCGAGCCTCGGCCGCCACTTTCATAGTACCTATATAATATATAATATTGTACGACTGACTGAAGGATTGAGACGTTTTGCGAATAAAATTATTTACGCGCAAATACGCGCCGCCAAAAAAGTACCGGCTACATCACGAGTTTCCGCGAACTAAAAGAGCAAAGAGCAGTCGCCTGTTATTATTTCGCGCGCCTGTGCAAAGTTACGATCGGATTCCCATTAGCAGCAGATTTTTAGGAGCAGTGCGTACACTCGAGCCAAATTGCGCGCGGGTACGCGATAAATCGCGCCAACTAGCCGAGCTGCCGCAGAGATGAATTCATAATTAACGACGGCACATGTGTGTTGTGTTTCGCGTTCTCTTTGAGGATAGCAGTACCTCTTGAAACTCGCGCACGTGCGACACGGCCACGCATAAAGTCTCTGCGCGTCTCTGTGTACTCGAAATTAATCAACGAAAAACACGTGCTTAATCGCTCGTAATGAAACTATTTTGTCGGAACACGGCTGGATTCTTACCGATTGTGCTTGCCTGTATACACTTATACACACACATAACATCGGACTCTAAATCGAACGTGTGTTGCAATTAATCATCTTCGTCTAGCGAAAAAAGAATTATACGTGAATATACCTCGGCAAATAAATCAAAATTGATGTAGGTTCGCGGTAGGTCTCTCTGATCGGCAGCTTTCTTAATTCTTTGCAATGTTTTTTTTTCCTTTTTTTGAAGTCTTCCGCGCTTACTCGAGTTGGACTTGTGTGGCTTTTTCGAAACTACATAATCTATAATCGCTGTACTATGACTTGCTTAAGAACTTGCTTCTGGTAAACACAATTATCGTTTCAAATACTCGATCTATTTCGCCATCTATTTAGAATGAGCTTTTCTCTTTCATGATTGATTTGGTAAAACTACTGCAAAATGATCTATAATACATATCGATGGTTTAACATTACAGTCTATACAATACGTCAAAAAAAAATTTCGTTTATATTCAATCATAAGCTAATATTATGGCGCGTCGTTCAAAATAGCGCATGATCCAATAAGCACAAAGCAAATGGCGCAATCAATTTGGTAAAAGATTGGCAAATAGTTTTGATAATTTTTTTTATAGGTCGCCAGCCCATTAGTGATGCCATCAATCGCTGCAACGTGCTCTATTCTTATACAGCTTCTCTAAACAACGCGAGATCGTAAAATACGCCGGGAGACAAAATAACGATGAAAACTGAAAATCTATATTCATTTTAATGACATGGCAGCAGCACCTAGACGAAAGCTTAAAGGCAAAATAAATATTCGAGTGTATGCAGCTCAGACTCGGGTCGTATAGGTGTGCAAAATGCATCTGGCGTGAGCTGCATATAGCCGCGCACGTACAATAATAATGCGAAAACGTAAATCGATTAAATGCACGTAGCCGCGTGTATTTTGATTAATATACAGTACACATAAAGTCGCGCGCGAACTTACGGTACAACGTTTATATATACGATGTTGATTTATGCGAAAATCAAATTCTAGATTGATCACGCCGATGTGTAGCTGCACATGAGCGCATATATGTGTGTGTGCATTGCAGTGGCGCCGTTGCAAACGTGCGTGTGAGGCAATGAAAAGGTCGGAAAAAAATTTAGTTGCATACTTTTCTCTGCAACGAGTTTTTAAAAATTAATAGCTGATTTGGCGTGCGAGATTCGAGCACTGTGGATGCACAGTCACGAGAACATGGGTATATTAAACATATTTTGATTTGATGTCAAGGTGCCTCGTAATCTAATATTTATTATTTTCATCGCCCGTGATCGATATAATTTTAATTTCATCATACTTTAGCGTAATTTTCTGTGAGCTCAGTAATAGCGTAACTGCAAGAACGAGCATGAAACATTTATCAAGTTATATTCTCGAGTACGTTATGAGTAGATGTGGGAATATAAAAGGGCAAAGGGGCTTTGAAAGTAAATGGTAAATTTACTAACTCTCGATGCGGTCGTTAATCAGCCACAATTCGTTAGGTGCAAAATATCTTGAACGAAGAACTGCTTTTCTCCCTTATGTGAATTCAAAAATATACCAAAGCACAATACAAATACGAAGCACACAATTTTTTGGTCAATCTCGAGATATTACATTGAAAAGAACAAAATAAACGAAAATGAAAATGCGTCGAGCACAGTGAACAACACTTTGACAATAAACTTTTCTATGGACTCGGATCAATCGGCATATAACAAATTTGCGCGCGTATTTTATTTGGCTCTCGAACTCGTGCAAGAGAAAGAGCGAGAGAGAGAGAGAGAGAGAGAGAAAAGTGGCCGCATGCAAAGCAGCACGACACAACACTACTAGCCGGGCACAAACTTCTACCTTCTCGACGTTATGTAGTTCTTCTCATCGCGCTGACTCTCTCTCACTCTTTTGCTCGCGTGTGTATATGTATGTGCGAGTGTATTTGGACCCAGGTTTCTTTTTTCCCCACCGCGGCTTCTCGGTTCTCTCTCTCTCTCTCTCTCTTTCTCTCTTGCTTATACATGCACTGCGCGAACATATACATATATATAGCTATAGTATATTGAATATTATGTGCGCACATGTATGTATGCTACATATATACACAGCAACTATTTTCTCGTCCCTTCTTTCTCTATCTCGTTTCGATTCCCATCGAGTCTCTGTGTATGCATGCATACACACACGCATTCCGTCGTCCCTTTCTCTTCTCTCTTTCTCTCTATGTAACTTCTCTCTATGTACGTCTCGCGGATGCTCGCGCGCCAGTGTGAGTGTGTACGTGCGCCTGTGAGAGAGTCTGCATACGCTATTAAGGCCCTTTACTCCGTCGAGTCTCACGTACATATGTAGGGCATGCCGCATCCTCGTCGTCTATGTAGGTGTATGTAGGTGTGCGCGTCGAGCGCTCCGATCTTCCTTCTTTCTCGACTCTTCTCGCGCGTCTCAAAGCAGCTATCTCGTTCTTTATCAAACGCGCGAACCCGATTATACATTACATCGTGCCCACCGCAGCCAAAGGCTTATCTCCGCCACTCGCGCACAGACAGACGCTCTGTACTCCGCAGGCTGCACTTCTGCATTACAGCGCTCGATGTAATAATGCTTGCGCTGCTGCACCAAACATCCTCCGCTATTATCGCGCTCTAACATTCTTCGTTGAGTATGAATCTCGACTCGGGCCTCGGATGGCAGTTCCCTTTGATCTCGCACTTCTTTCTGACGTCTGAATAATTTACCCGACTACTTATGTGCGTCTTCGCAACAAAACCATATTGACCAATTCCTTTCTTCGTTTCAATTGTGTCGCCATTTCAATTATTTAAATTTTTGTAATTAATTTACCCTGGACTGAAATCCGATCAACGGATCTATTTTCGCCCTCGAAACTTCCAAATTAAAACTCTGACTGACCTGCACAAAAAGGACATTGATGCAGCTTTTATAGAACGTAACAAGTACTTAATCACCAAATAACATTGCTCTTTGCTTCGAATCGAACAGCTTGATTAAATTTTTTTCCAACAAATTACAATCAATTAATTTGTTTTTTAAATTCATTGCAGATTGTTACCTTTTTGTGTTTTTAACTAGTCAGAAAAGTATAAAAGATAAACGGAAAATTAAGATAGCCTGAAGTGTTAAATATAAAATTAAATGATTACCGAAATTTTCGTAAGAGCCCCGCGAGTTGTCTTTACATTCTACGCGCAGTAATGCTCAAACGAGCCATTTCATGCTACCACGAGGCTTTTTTAATTAAAAAAGAGCAACTACGCTCTTCCTGAGACAAACGGGTATCATTCATTTGAAATAAGTGTCGGAAGGGAAAGACGCTTTAGTCTTGGCAGATCCTCCCTGTTTTAGAACTCACCTAGGAGAAAACTTAATGAACCGAGTGCTTTCGTAATTAGAGACCCAAAGAAATAATCGAAACCATTATAAAATGTTACAGGTCTATACCTCAAACGGCTTACCTTCAATATCCTTTTTTTTCTTTTCTTTACAGGTGAACGCTAATCGTTATCCGACGGTCGTGAAACTGGGCCACGCTCACGGTGGTGTGGGTAAGGCCAAGGCCGAAAATTGTCAAGAGTTTCAGGATCTGGCCTCGCTCGCCGCCCTCAGCAACTGTTACATCACGGCCGAACCCTACGTCGACACCAAGTACGATGTTCACGTACAAAAGATCGGCAACAACTACAAGGCTTTCATGTAAGCAGTGTTTTTCAAGCGCGATCATTTTTTGTTTTCTTCGGCTTTTCCTTTAAATGAAAAAAAGGTTTTTTAAATTGATAGTTATAAAAGATATTTAAATATGACTAAACGTGTCCAATGAAACAAATATTTATTCAAATTTCAAATATGCAGGCGCAAAAGCATAACTGGAAATTGGAAATCTAATACTGGTTCGGCGATGCTGGAACAGTTGCCAGTATCGGATAAACATCGCGGTTGGGTGGACCAAGTGTGCCAATTATTTGGCGGTCTTGACATTTGTGCCATCGAGTTGCTGGTCGGTAAAGACGGCAGAGAGTACATCATCGAAGTCAACGACAGTGCCCTGTCACTTATGGGTGATACTCAGGAAGAAGATCGTCGACATATTGCCGAGCTTGTGGCCGCCAAAATGCAGGTGTGTTTTATTTGTATTTTTATACACAATCAGTATGGAATAAAATAGTACAAATTTTATAACAAGGAAATAATCCGGTTATTAATTTTTACTATGGTAGTATGGTCTATACGAACGTTTAGTCAGTGCCACAGAAATTTTTCACTGCATTGTTCCGAAAATTATTTGACTAGTACAACATTTTTCATGCATCAAACCAATAAAAATTAAAAAAAAATATATTAATAAATGATTTAGCCCCTTCATGTAAAAAGAAAAGTCGACTATTTTTGCACCGTAAATTCAATCGACAATTTTGGATGGTATTTATTTAAATTTTCCGGACTAACATCGCGGAATAATAATTCAACGCATTTTCAATACCAGAAAAACTTTATGATAAAATTTAGAACCGCAATAAAAATTATAGTTTGCCGCCAGTAAGCTATGATTTTAATTTCTTTCAAGTATAAATAGTAAATCACTGCCCTAGGCGGCGAAAAACAAACAGATAAGCCCCAGAATATGTGTAATTAGAGATGAAAACGTGCTCTAGGGCTGTCTTTTTTCGCGGCTTAGACCTGTATGCTATGTTTCATACCCAGTGGCTTGAAAATCGCTCTTCTTGCTTTGCGCAGCGGCAGGAAAGTAGTCACTTTCGTGTTGCTGGTATTAAAAATGATTTCCGTAAATTTATTATAAATCCATATCGAGAATAAACTTGTATGTAATATCTGTGGTGAAAGGACCAAACAAGTCCATAATTTTTTTCTCCGTATTGTTAACATGATGCGCTCTTTAATAATTTGATAAATGCATAAGTCATATAAGCTACCTCTACGTCTTATAATAAATTTGATTACAAGAGTTTCAGCTTCCAATTTTTCGCGTGCAGTTAGGCACGCACGTACAATCCAAAATGCCTTTTTTCGAAAACATTAAAAGCGGGCTCAAGTCGTTTTAAACTTTACATCACAGATATCAGTCAAGTGTTGTTGTTTTTTTACCGAAGCTGGAATTGCAAGTTTTATGGGAAGACAAGAAAACTCGGGACAATAAGTTATTGATTTCTCGTTTAAAATTGACGTTTATAAAGCAAACGATTTGCTGCCACAGTATACGTTTCCTTCTTTACACGCTGCTCTCGCAATTACTCGACTTTCGTACTTTCCTTTACTTTTGCGCTTGATGAAAAGGATGTAATTTCTTCTCGTACCTCCTCTTCTTATTTTTTAATTAAATAACAGATGGCTTTTTTGTTCGTTGAGAAAGATGAGATATTTTCTCTTATCTGATAATGATAATTTAAAAAGGGATTCGATACCTCATCAAAGTCATATTCTTATATTTTTATGTTAGTCTAAAAATCGTATTAAGCCACAATAAGTAGTTAATTGAATTAGTTATTAGTATAAATTAACAGTCTAGTGCACACATAAACGGCTCGTGAAATTTGTTCACAGGCCTATTGCCGACCACCGTCGCAGTTAACGAAGACGAATTCGCGCGGTTCCATGTCCTCGACATCGGGACTGTCATCGCCGACAGAAGAACGTGGACCACCACTGGGCCCACCGCCGCCAGCCCCTCCAAGCTCGCACGGCAGCATCACCTCTATGACCAGCGGCCTCGGCTCTACCAGCTCGGTTTCGGCTCTCAACTCCGTTAACGACTCCGCACCTGGGCCGCCCGATCATCATCCGCCGCTGCAGAGACGCGACTCCCAAGGTAATCACGAGTTCCGACTCGAGTCTCGAGCTCTCCAGTCTTTGGGCTTGCAAGATTGATTTCACGTTTCGTTCTTGCAGCTTCCCAATCGAGTTCGGTGAGTAGTGCCCCGTCGGTGGGTAGACGTACGGAAGAGCCACCACCGGTACCTCCGACGACGCGTTTGCCGTTTCATCGTCAAGGTAGTCAGTCGCAGCCGGCTCCAGGTGAGGACACCGAGGACACTATGAAGAATTTGCGCAAGACCTTCGCCGGCATATTCGGTGATATGTAAGCTGCACTGATCCTGCAGTACAAAATACCCCAGCATTGTCAACTCGCACATACATAGAGTCCACAGTGTAAACACTAGCAATGTTTTTAACATCAAATACACCTGACATATGAGCAATTCGCGTGACGACGTTAAGTGGAATCGACAAAGAATTATGAATTATTTTTCTTTTCGACCAAAAAACCTACGCTGAGACTGAGAATTAAAGTTTTCAATATACAATTTTACCAACGTTTAATTTAGGTACTTTTTACATGGACACGAGAGAGACTGAATACGTTGAATAATGTAACAATCTCGCCGCACCGTCCCCGAGATACTTGAAGCGTTATTTGAATTTTTTTCAAACCAAATCACATCGAAAAATTGATTCTAAATGTTTTCAATTTTACCTAAACTACTCGTTCGTGCGGGTGCTCATTGCATTTATGTTAAACGTGTTACAGAGAATAAAGAGGTTTAAAAAATGTTAAAAGGAGAAGTGATAATTTCAAAAAATTGAAAACATTTTAAAAATTTTCGGAATGGGGAATAATAAATCATTGTAGGAGCACTGATGAATGAACATGTGGCTTCATTAACGAAAAAGAATAAAAAAATTTATATCCTCATATTAATAGCAATAATCTCAACTCTTTATAATTAAAAAAATAAAACTCAAGTTATCTCTGTCCTTTAAATCGAAATTGATCTTTTAGTATGATATATAGTAAAGAGTATTCCTCGTGATTCGGAATTTTACAAGTCATTTTTTTTCTCTTTCTCTCTCCTTTAGGAGCGATCGTGAAGTCTTTGTATCTATACACGGCAAATTGTTGTTTACCAATGTAATGGTACCTTATACCTATAATGTATTACTGTCTTCATAAATTATAAAAAATATTATATTATATATATTATATTATGTATGTTAAGAGGTCACAATTGTGTACAAGTGCAACTTACATGCGCTAGGTATGCATATCGTTTGAGTATTCACAAGAACCATATAATTAGCTCATCAAAATATAAAAGACACGCGATGTATTTACGTGTGCGAAAATAATTGGAAAAATCTCAAAATAGAAAAAAGCGTGCAGAGGCCATCGAATCATATCATTCTATCATGCAATCCATACACATCATTACACATTTGCAAAGAATTACTTTATAAACGCAGCCATATGCAAACAATTGTATGTGTTTACCATTTTAATATAATCAGAGACATATTATATGTATACATCCGCGCCCATTTTATCATAAAACTCATGGCTGGGCCCATATTCTAGATATACATCTTAAAGCAAATTTTGAAATTTGAATATTTAAATGTTTTTTGGAAGGGTGGCAGTATATATAAATGAAATATATATATATATATATATATGTGACGAATCTATATATATCGTATCAAAAAAGGCTGCGATAACGCAGATAATAATAATAATGAGATTTAGGATTAAACTGAACTTTCGACTGTCATTCTGGCTCAAATTAATCGACCAGTTACATATTCTGTTCTCTACACACCTGGTGTGTAGACTGGAATCAGTGAACATTTTTTCTTCGATATGTGCAATGAAAAATGATACTGATATGAAGTTTAATTACATCGGTTAATGCAATTTTGTTTCATTAATATGGTTAAAAGAAATTTATTCACTATATGGGAACGATATTTTCATTTACAGGGTATTATTAATGATGTTGATGAATTTCACTCTGGCGAGTGTTTAAAACGGACAGAAACCCAATAAACCAAACCAAGTCGTCTAGAGATGCTAATTTTGCTATTTATACATTTTTTAACCTCGCTAATTACAATTAGTTATAACATATCTCCTAAAATACCTGATTGATAACGGTTCACTCATCAAATGAGTAATTTTCCAGAGAGCCTATATTTGATTATACACAAAGAAAGGCAAAAAGATACTCTAGTGCTTTATTAATTGTTGTTTTAAAGTTATAAAGCTAAAAAAATAGAAGAAATTTTAAAATTAAAAAAAAAAGAGTATTTATATTCTAGAAAAATTGTTGAAGCTTGATGAAAAACTAAAGGATTATATTTATACAAAATAATAATTATTCACGTATTAGGAGAATGATTTTAAAGCTAAATGAAAGGATTTCATTTAATTGACTTCACTTAACAGACTCATGTAGCTTGGTGAGTTTTAACTGTGAATCTTTACAACAAGTCTATTTTTTCTTCATTCAATTTCTCAAAAATATTTTATTCTAATCTTTGATTGTAAAGTAAAATAAAATATTCTGGGTTGTTTCCAAGTAGGTCCGTGAAGAAAATAACCAATGAATATATCAATTGATCTCCTAAAGTTGTTAATAGTTTTCATTCGACGCAAACAAATAATATAAAAACATGCGAGAAAATACTCACAAATGTTGATTCCCATTGCAATGATGAACTTATATTTATCACCACTAACACTCTCTAATCGATTAAATTGTATCTTAATAATAATCACACAAATTATGTCTATTCTATCCTCATTACAATAATGAAAAAACGTGGCATAAATAAGTTTTCGTGTACGCTGTCTCAAGTAAAATAATTATTCAATCAGATTAGCCTTATCAATGTGAAAATAAATGAATGAGCGTAATGCGACTTGATAAGGGGGAGAAAAGATCTAGTGAACTTGAAAGTACATCATATTATTAAATAGCCAGTGGAGGTAAACGAGCAGCAAATTTTGACTTTGCCTCCTTTGATTTCAATGCGTGCTAGAATATAAATTACCATTATTGTAACGTAGAAATTACGTTTAATACTTACTAGCACATTATACAGAGAAACGTCTGCGAACTAGAGTTTTATCATTCGCAACAGTTTTTTCGACAATTCCCTTATACATAACTGGTAGAAATACTCTAGACCATTTTCGCCTCATGATAACACGTATAAATATGATACACGATTAAAAAAGGATATTTCAATCGTCAGATTGCTGTAGGTGCCTAAACGCAATTGGTTTCTGAATGCCAAATTCCAATGATAATATTATACATTGCGATTAAACATATAATAGGGGTATGTGCAGTTGGTGTACATATACGATACTATATAGTGAGATGAATGAAGCTGTTGATGCATACAGGCGAGCTATTGAAATTACAACGAATCTTTATTGAAAAAAAATCGAAGAAAAATCGGCAAATTAAGTTCAAGAGGTCAGAGGGAAGTCGTCATTATTATTGTTATCACGTCGTTTTTGATTGAGTGACGTATCGAGCAGAGAGCGTCGAGATTATTCGGTGGAATTTCGATCTATATAATTGAATCAGTTAAATTGCATCATGGCATTATTTGTCTTTAGCCTCAAGAAAAAAAGTATACACTAATGTAACACGATTGCACAAAACTCACGATGTGCTGATCTGAAAAAAATTATGAGTACGTGGTAACATTTGCACATTATAAATGTAGTTACTCCCTTTGGTCAGATGCACATAAAATAGAATATTATAAATGGACACAATAATCCAGCTATTAACTCAAAACGATAAATAAGCGATTGACGGTTCATGAGAATTATCGAAAATAATAATATCCCAATAATTGCCAACTTTGCGCAAATCCGCCGCGAGACAAAACAAAAAGAAAATGAAGCCTAAAAAAGATGGTCACAAATGAGAAAATACGTAGAATACTTTATTCTGCACAAAACAGTTCACTTTAATTAAATAAAGTAACTGATGACTATTAATATGCACTAAATTGCACTAAATTGATTGGTCGACGTTACAGAAGGGTATAGGTAGTAGATCTGCGTTATAGTTTTTAAACTGCCGTTAAAGCTTTATTACAGATTATTATTTGACAATAGATTATATCTTATACGAATATGAAATAAAAAATTAATGAAGATTATTTATTTGACTTTTTATATATACAGAAGTGATATTTGCATTTAAAAGAAAAAAATTAGGTCATTGATTAGTCATTTAATTTTACGATTGTTACCTTGTCGATCTCGTGCAAAACCAGAGACAGGGTGAAAGAGCTAATAACGAAGTTGATTATAAATAAAATGCTAATTGTCATCTCGTTAGATTCAGAGAAGTCACGTGAAAATAATTATGAATTATGCTTGAAGTGTAAATGTTTGTACCTTATGTTGCGTGCGATAAAGAAATGTAACCGAAAAATTTGCTTGAACTTGTAATAAAAGACAAATAATGTACAGTTTAATGTGCCCTATCAATTTATGGCGAGATTGCGAGGTATATATTTTTATCTCCAGATCGAGATTTGTCTCTTTGTGTGCATATATTTCATGTCCTTTTTTTGAGATGTACATTAAAAGTTACGTTGAAAGCTCGTATTTATTCTTTATTTTAAAGAAGATTTTAGGGAAGAAAAAATTCAACGATAACGACAAATAAGTGTTGAGCAAAGTGAAGCTAAAAATTATCGTCTTCGATAAACGCCATTCAAAAGATGTATTATAATCTATCGACTTCCTGATTTTTTTATTGAGGTATTTGAATTTGTAACTTCAACGTTGGCGAAATGCGATGTAGCAAAAAATAGTTTTGAAGCAAATATCATTTGCATCTGCCAAGGTTGTTAGAGGCCAATGTTATAAAAAAATCGAGTCACCGAGACGGATGAATAAATTTAAAAAAATTGAAAAATGAATAAATAAATGAATAAACCCTTGTATGCTGAAGTATTATATCTCATCAAGACACGATGTATACTCCATTAAGTGTCCTGTAGCAGGCTGCATCTGTTAAGATATCGTTTTACCGAACACGATGTATTTTAACCTGTAACAATAAAATATAAGTCTAAACAAATATTCATAGTATCGTAAATTATTTATTTTCATGGTCAACCTTTGAATATTTAATAAAAATTAGTTTTCTTTTCTTTGAAAATTTAGCAAAAAAATGTTGGAATATTAAAGTTAATCTAAGAGTTAATTAAAATTAGGTTTGTAAATTTATCATGCACTTAAATGTATTTGTAAATAAAATTACGCGAGAACCCTCGAAGAGACCTAGTTTACCAGTTACCAATTTTAAAATAATGCCATAATTTCTCGAAACCAAAAAATTGACGCGAGCAAAAATATTAGCGTATAGAAGTTTACTCGATACGATTGAATTTCACTTTCTCTCATGAAAAGAGACACCGCGAGTTAATTAGCGCATGTATGCGAGTAAATTTTTGCTTCGCAATTCGCATGCTATTGCTCTGCGCGCAGTTTATTTGTAAATAAAAGCTGGTCAGCGCCTCTGACGCTCAGAAAAGTAAGCACTGCTCGGTGGCCTGCCGCCTGCACAGTGCAAAATGCAAACATATACGGCGTTAGGCCAGCTGTTGAACTGCTGTGAATATGGCCGACCGGTGAAGTCACGCGAGACTAGCCTAGTTCGCAGCTCGAATCGTAATGTTTGTATACTCGTAAGATCACAGCAGGACACAAAATTGGCTTCGAGTCTCGTATTCTAGTGCTAGCGAGGGATCGCTTTATCAAAAGAAAATGGTGAAAATAGCAAGTGACTTTATTCAAAGTTACGAGTTAGCGTCGATATTCCGTAGGAACACGGCTGTCTCTGAATTATAATATCCAAGCACGAGTGTAGTGCAGTTTCAGAGGAATTAACCCGTGAGATCTTTTGAAGAGATAAACAATTCGACGCTTCGAAGGATAAAAGTCGGCCAGCAGCTGCAGCGATGGAAGAAACAGCCCAGAAGACTCGCATCGGCTGAAAAGGTGATAGATTTGATACTTATACTCGAGTCCGATGTAATAAGTTGCGAGAGCGGAGGCTGCTGGCATAGCCAGCCGATGTTGCGTGAACTGTGCATAGGCGACAGTGTGGCGCGTGCGATCAGTGCTTATATTGTTTTTATTTTGTTCTCGCGGCGAGGCGCATGAGTTAGAGAGAGAGAGAAGTAGCTGGCGCGTACACACGGCTAAATACATCGAGAATCTCAATATGCACTTGAAAAGCGCACTAAGTATTTGCTGGGCTTTGTGTCAAGTTTTCACGCTTCAGCCAAGTTATTATTCGTATTATTGTTATTCGTTCATCAAAAAATTTGAAGCTATTGAAAATACGCAATTCGTACGCGCACGGAAAAATGCGCTCGGAGGTCACGCTGTTGAGTGCGAAATAATCTATTGATCAATTTTTATTTTTTATTATAATGCATATACAGAAAAAAACATCCACGTAAGAAACGAGAATTTCTATATCACTTGAAAATTAATTTAATATTTTTTACAAGCATCTGCATTTAATTCAACGAATTCGCGTAACTATTTCCATTTTAGTCGATGGCAATTTTGAGTCGTTTCTTGTAATTTACTTTTTTCCAAGTCTCAATACGCTTTGAATGGCATGACTTTCTGAGAAAAATAAATCCCTCTTTCTCTTTTGCCGCAACCTTCGAGGTCGAATCCGCGCACTTGTATGGCCTTTTTATTTCCTTCTGACTTTTAGGATGCGGCTGCCCGCTTAGGAATAATTAATTTTCTAACATTAATATCCGTGTCATGCCTGTTCATATAAACTCTACATCACCTCTATGGCGTTCGCTAGAAAAACTCTCGATCCGCACATGAGTACATTTTGTATTCATACATGAGCACGTACATACAAAACTACCTGCACACTGCTCTGCACACATACGCACACAAACTAACACTACTTGTCTATTCTATTGGTAAAAATAAAAAAAAACAAACTTTACAAGTGAGAGCATCGTAAAAGTTCTTGGCATTTCGCGTGGCTAAACACAGCCAGCTTTGAAGAAAATATCTTTTGTGCTCTTTGAATGCGTCTTAAAATGAAAGAGGGAGAAAAAGGGAAAATATTTTGCAGTCTGTCACTGCTTATATGAGTTGTTCGAAAAATAGAGGAGTAGAGGTGTATATTATAGTATATGCGCGCGGATACAAATGAAATCTCTGAGTTATGTGATTTTGATTAATACGCCGCTGCGCATTATGTACTCATCTTGCCTGGTCTATTATCGTACAGAGCATACATACCACGAACATTCACAATGTTGTACCTGTTAACTCAGCTTGACTCTGACTTTATGGCAAGAATTTGTTCTTCATTCAGAAAAGTTTGTCATGTTAAATGCTATCAATTTATTGACATGGAGTTATTACTTTAATCATAATGTCACAAGATTTATTTATCATGTAAAATTCAATCAACTTAAAGAGCGGTAGGTTTCATATAATCGTTAATCATAATTAGCAATTGTTTCAGTCTAAATGAATAAATTGCTTTGTTTTTATTATTAATTTTTAATAATTTTTAAATTTTAAATTTTTATTAACATGTTGCTGTACAATTAATTCACAGGAAAATAGCTTAACATAGGAATAAATGTACAAATATTGAAAAAATATGAAATAATTCATAAATTGTGAAGTCTAATGAATTATTAACAATTAATTCTAAACTAAAAAACGCAAATATGTACATTTTATGTAGACATAATTTATTACTCTCTCCTTGCCTTTTTTGTTGCACTTTTTTCTACTAGCCATGAAGGATCTATGACTGAAAGACCTCTGATATAACACTTTCCAGTAAGAACAACTTCTGTATATAAAACTAACTTAGGATATGTTCCATTGAGTATGGATGATGGATGAATGGCTACTGGTTGTCTTGTTGTTACCTTAACAAAGAAAAAGTCAATTATTAGTGAATCAGATTTATCTGTCGTAAAAATGAGAAAAAAGAACAAAATTGTCATTCTCATATTTCTTATAGATTAAAATTATTTACCGAAATATATGTCTGATCTCTCTGCAACTCAGCCAAATTATCACTCAAACCTTCAAGAAGAGCTCTCCTGAGATTTTCAGTATTTTTTCCACAAGAGCTCATTTCTAGCTTTGCACGTTCAGTTACAGTGACTAGTTGTTGTCTTACATTAAGGGCATATTCAAGATTTCTGTGGTGTAAAAAGTTTTCATGACAATAGTTCTTCTTATTTTTTGCTTGCAAGTATCCTCTATATACATTGAGTAGCATAACATGGTCACCTTCATCTGATCCAAATCTATTAATGAAGTTAAATTAAAAGCATGAGCATTATAAATTTTTTATTGTTCTTTCAATGTTTTAATGAAATATTATTTATATACACATACCTTGACCGAGCTCTCAAAGCTTCTTCTCGTTTTGATGGGGGATCAACAAAAACATTTTCTCCAGATAAAAGAGCTATCACAGATAGTGCTTCTTCCAAGCAGTTCTGCTCAGCTGAAGCAAATATCACTTTTGTAAATCTTGGATCTAATGGGAATAGAGCCATTTTTCTACCAAGATCGGTTAACTGAAATGGTGTACCAGATACAGCCCCTAATTTTTCTAGACAAAACATAGCATTTTCTATTGCTTCTTGAGGTGGTTTATCCATGAAATTAAATTTAGTAATATCGATTTTTATTGCTAAAAGTGATAAAGCTACGCCAGATAATGAGCTCCTTTGGATTTCTGGAATAGGCATTTCTTTAAACTTTTCAAATTCTGATTCAGTATAAGTTCTATAACATACTCCTGGTGCTTCCCGACCAGCACGACCTAGTCTTTGAAAAGCTTGTGCTTTTGAAACTTTTTCAACTTTTAATACATCAAATCCTGTGTGTGGATTGTGAGTACGTTGTTTTACAACACCAGTATCAATAACAGTTCGAATTCCTAAAAAAGATCAATAAATTTTTATTTGAATACTTAATTTTTATATTTAACTTGAAAATCATATGATGTACCTCCTATGGTTACAGATGTCTCTGCAACATTCGTAGAAAAAATAATCTTTCTCATTCCTGGTTGGGAAGGCTTGAATGCCTCTAATTGTTGATATGTTGGCAGTGCAGAATAAAGGGGAAATATTTTCAATCCAGGATAACCTTTTCCTTCTAATTGTTTAGCTGCTTTTTTTGCTGCTGTAACAGCAGCTTCAATCTCTTCTTGACCAGTTAAAAATACCAGTATGTCTTCACTATAATATAGAGAAAAATTAATAATAATACAGTATACCATCAGTCAACGTTTTCAGTAATCATCAACAGTAAAATACATACTTTGGTGGAGTGTTTCTGTGTACTTGAAAAACGGTTGCTAAAGCAGAAAATGCATAATCATCTTGAGTTGTTTTAGCATGAAATATTTTTACTGGATGCTGTCGTCCTTCAAGATAAACTGCAGGTGCTTGAAAATATGTTGTAAATTTGTCAACATCCATAGTAGCAGACATGACTATGATTTTTAATGGTGGCATTTTTTTGGCAAATCTTAGTTTTTGTGCTCTTTTGACAACACCAAGCAATACATCAGTTTGAACTGATCTTTCATGGGCTTCATCCAAGATTATTACAGAGTATTCTGATAGTTGGTTGTTTGACATAGCTTCTCTCATCATCATACCATCAGTTAAATACTTGATTCTAGTTTCTGAAGAAGTCACATCTTCAAATCTAACAGACCATCCAACGAGTTTTCCAGGTTCAGTATTTAGCTCCTGAGCTACCCTTCTAGCAACACTGACAGCAGCAACTCGTCTTGGTTGAGTTATGGCAATCTTTTTTTTTGCTAAACCAGCTTGTAAGAGAAATTGTGGAATTTGAGTAGTTTTTCCACTACCGGTTTCTCCAACAACAATTAATGTATCGTTTTTATTAATTTGTGCCAGCAATCTGAAGCAAAAAAAAATCAAAAAATAAGACTAGGGAAGTAGTAATAAAGTCTTACAATTAACAGAAATTTCTCGCATCAACATTTCACAATGCTTAAAAAGAGTTTTATAAAATAAAGATGCTTGATTAAAATTGCTAATAAACTTTTTTTAAAAACTCACGTAAAATAGTTTTGAGGAAACATTGAGGTGTCAAAGATCACAGATAAAATAAAACAATAACGAATCTGAACAACGAATCGAAATATTAAATAACAAAAGTTTAATCCTCGAACTTATTCACTTGGAAACAATAGATAAACGTTGTGTGTTCACGCACCAACCACCGATGATACATCCAAACATTTTAAAGTGTAAACATAAATCAATATCACCCCGAAATAGCAATAAGAAAATAAAAAATTGGAAAATTTACTTTTACTGTAGCCAAAAAATACAAGCTAACTAATAAAAAAATACTCACTTTTTCCTTAACCTAAAAACTGGTAAACTCTTTCGATCCTCGTCAAGTTTTCTTTTTTTGGCCGGTGGTGCTTGCTCGACACACATGGTTAAAAAATATGTTCTGTTTGTTGTATTCACTGTATAAAAAATCGTTTTTCAAAGAGTCTGTCAGTTACACTATCAGTCAAAATGTAAAGCACATGTACATGTTGGTAGTTGAACGCTACCGACGACTGTCATAAACTCGCACGTGGATGTAGAAGTCAGATCATGGGCGCACCAAACCAAGTACGAATTACGGCTGCGTGTATAACAACTTAACCTTAAGCGTGAAGGAACTTAACTGTATTATATGCACTGCTGAGTGCTGTCTGCCATGCAGTGGTTATGCGTCGATCGTCACTGCCACCTAGATGATTAAAGCGCGCGAATACTTTGAATAGTTTTTTCATGCTACTGTAGCATACGAACATTTGAGAGCATGAATTTCTCACTGTGTCCAACTTGGTCAATATATCTTTCAAAATTTTTTTTTTGGAAATTGTTGAAGTGAAATATAAACAGGCGTTTATTTGTCTATTTAAACAATTTTAATTTTCTATTTATTTTATACGATATAGAATTAATGCAATTTTTCAAAGAAATCCCCATGCAAAATAATCTCGATTATAATCTTGTAATTTCTTATTTCTAATCACTTGCTAATTTAGTGTATAATTTGTATTTACATGTTAATAGATAATTATAGGAGTTGAACAGAGTAAACTTACACAACACACAGCATTCTTTCTTATCCCATAAGTTTTGTCAACCGATTCGATTACACTTACGTACACGAAAGTACGTAATTAAATTGTGCAACCGCGTTCGGCTCCTATCAATGTTTACAATGCATTAGGGAATGATTTATAGTGCACACAGATTAAAATATCATGCATTCACTAATATAGATAAATTGTTATTTTTAGTTTATCAGTTTATATATAAATCTGAAGCCTAATGTCTCCTCCAAGAAAGATGCAGCCCAAAATGAAGTGTTACGTTTGCGAAAATGATGAGTGTGACAAACCAAAGGTGTGCGAAAACGCCATTTTGGTAAGTGGACTTTATAAATGAACAAAATTGATCACGATAGATCGTCAATGTCAGACTATTTAATCAAGTTATCTTTGCTTTGATGAGTACAGTGCTTCAAATCGGCCGTAAGAGAGCACGATGGTACGACGCGAATCAGCAGAGGCTGTGTTCTGCAGCGAGAGCATGTGCCTCTCTACTGCAACAAACACTTGGCGAGCGGCGCGTCCAACGACAACATCCAAATTGGCGCCGGCTCGTTCCATACGATTTGTTGTCAAGAGGAGTTCTGCAATTCGGGACCCTTTCCAGAACTTCGAGGACCTCCACCAAGTACGCATTATTTCATCTCTCTAAACTCAATCGAATCAATTAAATCAAACCTTTTCAAACTTTCTATTTACTCGATTAACAGGTGATTTGAACAAAATAGGTTTGCATGCCAGACTTGTACTTTACATGTTGCCACTCTTTGTTTTTTTCACCATAATCTTCGCAACGCTATACCTCGTACGTAAGAAGAAACGAGATGTTTCGACATTACCTCGACGCGATAAAAAGCTTGTCGAGACGGGTTGTGAACAACAAATGCTCGTATTTGCAACCGGCGCTAGCCCCAATGGCCACGCTCAAGGTGCCAACAGCACCAATGAAATTCGTGCTACGGCAGCCGGAGACAGTACGCTTAAGGTATGACGTTTATTTTTCTCGCTCAAAATATTCTCCTGATGTATCGTTAACAAACATCATTTAATCTTGCAGGAATATTTGGAAGGGCAAAGCTTAACGAGCGGATCGGGATCTGGTCTGCCTTTGCTCGTTCAACGAACTCTGTCCAAGCAAGTGGCCCTGGTAGAGTGCCTCAGCGCCAGTGGTAATAGTATCATCGGTAGCGGCAGTTTTGGCCGCGAGATATGGCGCGGAGTCTGGCACGGAGAGAACGTGGCGGTGAAAATATTTTGCTCCCGAGATGAGGCCAAATGGGCTCGAGAAACCGAAGTGTACTCTCAGCTTTTGCCTTCCAGACACGACAATATCCTCGGGTATATTGGCAGTGACATGACCAGTAGGGCCAGCTGTACCCAATTGTGGGTTGTCACGCATTATCACTCCTCAGGATCTCTTTACCACCATTTGCTTCACGTGAGATACATTTTTATTATTCATTAATTCAGGCATCTTAAATTAAGTCTTATAACAAAATGTAATAATAATATTTTAATTTTTTTTTCGCAATGTCACAGCTTGTTAAGGCCATGAACCACGAACAAATGTTCAATATTTGCTTGAGCATTGCTAATGGTTTGTTATATTTGCACACGGAGATTCACGGCACTCAAGGCAAGCCTGCGATGGCGCATCGCAACCTCAAGTCTAAGAATATCATTGTCAAAAACAATGGAGCTTGTGCGATTGCTGACCTCTCGTGTTGCGCTACACAAGATAAACTCACCGAGAGGTTCGACACCAGACTATCATCGCGACGATATATGAGCCCGGAACTACTTGACCAGACGTAAGTATTCTCGAAATTTGATCCGACTAAAATTATTTATAAAAATGATTTCTTTTACAGCTATGACCACGAGTGTCTGGAGGGATTCCGTCGAGCCGACATTTACAGTCTTGGACTTATTTTTTGGGAAGTTTGCACGAGATGTTCTAGTAATGGTGTTGCTTCTGATTATTCGGCTCCATTCGCCGAATGGCTTACGAACGACAAACAAGAGCCAACTTATGAAGAAATGGTTAAACTCGTAGTTACTGATCAACGAAGACCTCACATCCCCAATCGTTGGCATACGGACCCGGTATTTTACATTATTCGAACTTTTAACCTTTTAAACCTCGTGAAATGCATTTTAAATTTTCTTTTTCAGAGTTTATCTGGAATGGCTCATATGATAAGTGAATGTTGGCACCAAAAAGCTGCAGCAAGACTTCCAATCCTGCGAATAAAAAAAACACTTGTAAAATTAGCTACAAGTGACCCTGATGTTGATCTGCCCATAGATTAAATTACGACAGTAATTTTATAAATTTAAAATTGTACATATTTAATTAGTGATAGTTAGTTTTTAAGTAATTAAAGCAAAAATTCAGTTTAAATAATGTGCTTAGTACGTTCATACTGAGCAAAGATTTGTTAAAATTGGAAAATACTCACTTCTCAATTTTATAGTAATTTGGACTAAAATTAATCGACATGAAAATTTTATGAAAATTTTTAATACCAATTCTTTTTTAAAACTAAGTGATAGTTATTTATCTCGTTAGACGAATGTTCATGCGATATTGTTATTGATAATTATTAAGTAATTTTATTAATTTTTAGTGTAATCCTCTTTTAGAATTATTTTCAAACTTCGGCCAATCGAGAAGATTAATTGGTATTTTATGAAAGCAATTACATGACTTGTAAGATGATGAATGGAACAACATTTTAAATCAATTTTGTATTTAAATATACAGTGCCAAAATGAACTTGTACTGATCGATGATAGGTGCTTGTACTTAATTCAAATGAATTTATACTGTATTATTTTAGCGATTTAAAACATAAAGTAATTTATGAACATTGCATCAATGACAAAAGAGATACTTATCTTAACTTATGGAAAAATACTTGCATTAAGGCCAATAAATAGATAAAATATTTCATTTAACTAATTGAATCAGCTTCTAATTTTAATTATATGCACGTACTCAAATAGTGAAATGATTATTTTAGTAATGACATGAACTCAATATAATTATGCGTTTGAAAAAACATTCAGTGATTTAAATAATTTTATATAATTTATGTTTTATAACTGATTAATCAACGTTCGAAACTAAACTTTTATGTTCATAGTAAATGTAACTCCTAGCTTATAAATAATTCACCGATCGGCTTAAAAATAGATAACATTGTACCAACGTAATTTACAAATAATTGAATATTCTAAAAGATATTAGAAAAAAATGAAAAAAATGAAAAAAATGAAAAAAATTCAAATGTCTATTTTAAATTTAATCTTATTGAGCAATATTTTATAATGAAGGTTTTAGATATATATCTTATTTTTATAATTGTAATAAAACTTGGAAGGATTTTAAGTTTATTGTTTTGAGTAATAAGTTGATTTTATTGTAAACTAACGAAAGTGTTCCTATAATTATTATATCTAAGATCGATTAAGATCAAGTCTGCTCATGTAGGTATGAAAAAACAAGAGATTGCGTGAAAAATGATGAAAGTTTCATTATGTAAATAAAGAAATATAAATTTAATAATATTAACGAATTTTAAAACTTTCTTTACATTAATCACTCTCCCAATTTTTTTCGTTCAATTGATCTAATAATTTACACATCTGCCAATTTTGTTAAATATTTCTTTTTGTAAATATCCTTGCATAATATTTAATGAAAATGTTTATTAATAAAAGCAGCGGAACAATTTTATTACTATAGTAGTTAGGTCGTTTTAAAAGCTGGCCAAAAACCAGGTAAGAAATGACTGCACTGCTTGTAACCTTAATCGTGCACGCAATGCTAGATCGGAAAAAAACACTTTACAGCGGAGTATTGCTTCAAATTTGACGAACTAAAAGTCACTAAGTTTTCTAGTTACTTTTCTGTACCTATGTTGAAGAACGGTTAGCAATGATTTCAGTATAGAAGTTAGAACAGAAGCATTTTTTAGCAGAGAGATGTCCCGCATTCCCGATGACTATACTTATTGCACCTCAATAACAAAAAGTCAAGCTAATTGATCGCACGTGTGTTATCGTTACCCTCATAACCAAAGATTGATTTAGTTGATATTTACTACGCAGTTAGTGGAGTTCTTCACAGATTTTTCAGAGTTAGCTGTCTAATATCGATACCAGTCATGGACTGGGTTAGATGTAATGCTTGTTGGACTAAAGCTGAAAGTAAAAAACTCGCCTTTTTCTTGACGCAGTGCGGCCATGTTTACTGTGAAAAGTGTGTTCAGAAAGGTAAAATTTAACTGGCTCATACTTTAGTCATTGCAGTGCAGTCCGCAAAAACTCTACTTCTTTTTAAAATCTTTTAGCTCAAGAAAGATGTTTTCAGTGTGGCACCACAAATACCGTTTCTCTATCATTAGCAGAGCCAATGAATCCACAAATAATGCATTACTTTGCTCGTCCGTCAGATCTTCTCGAGAAAGTCATCCAGGCTGAGCAATTCCAAGATTCGCAGAAAGCTTTGTATCTACAGCGCGCCGAAGCTCAGGTTCGTGAATTTTTCGCTGCTTTGAAATTATCAGTTTTAAACGTCAATATCGTTATTTCATGTTTATTGTTTTAACTGTTACATTAGGCTAATAAATATGAATCTATGAAAGAAGCCTATTGGACAAGTGTTGAAAATTTGAAGAAAGTTTATCAAAAATATACTAAACTCAAAGTAGTTTTTAATGCACAGCAAAAAGAAATGCGGAAAGTATTCGTCGATCCTGCTGCTTCACATTCAATGTAAGTGGAATGAATATTGCAAAACTTCGTTTGTTTTACACAAAATCGCATTCACCTATTAACTTTTTCAGGAATCCTCAATACCAAAAAACTCCAGTTCAACATCCTAGATCTCAACATCAACAAAACTTTTTGAATTCATCTGTTAATTATTCTCAAAATCCTCATGCAAAGCAAATGAATAATGAAGGATTTCGTGTGCCAACTAGTACAAGAGTTCCTAGATCAGCGGGGTACTATACAGCTTCTTCTTTAAGCTCAACTTCATCTTGCGGTAGAACGCATCTTAGTAGAAACAGTACTCCCAATCAAAATTACTATTAGTTGGCATTTTTCTTTTTATTAATTTAGTTTTTTAGTTACAATTACATGCATTTTGTTGCTCCAACATGCAGAAGGATACTTGATCTTGTATACATATGAAAAATGCATTTGATTATCTTTAAAGATGCAAAGTGTAATAGATTCTTATAAAAAATTAAAAATAGCGACTTTTAATAATATCATAATTAATTATAGAAGGGAAAATGAGTGTTAAAAGACTGTACAATAGCTTAATAAGATGTATTTATGTTCTTTTGAAATGAATCATGTATGAAAAACATCAATTTGTAAATTTGGTGTTGAATATATATAATGTCTGTGTAATAATTTGAGAGACTTCTGAAATTTTAGGATATTTTGAAATACTGTTATGAAAATTCTTGATATTTTAAAAAAGTTTCAAATTAGAAACTAACTTAGCATCATTTCACAATGTTGATTTTGGAGTTTTGATTTTGTTTCAATTTATGGTTTTGAATCAATTTATGAACAAAAATTTTATTTTTTTATAATTTAGTTAATCACATATTTTACAAAAAAATCAATACTGAACTTCTATAATAACTTTTCGCAATTATCAATATTTCTTGGTGTTAATAATTCCGAGATGGCTTTACAAGATATGATGTGAACATTCGAAGTGTGGTGTTATGAGAAATAAGTTATTTAATTGAATCACATTAATTTTATAAATGTGAGTTATTCTTTCAATTTTTTTACTGCTGAATGAAAATTAGTGAAATAATCATTTTAAACTACAATTACTGTTAGGACTAGAAAATATATGTAATAAAATTAATTGTTGTATCCTCGATTACCGCTACCTAAATATTGATACTCCCATTATTAAAATATATTTTTCTTAATTTGTTGATAGTATTAATCGATTTTTGTACTGAAATGTCTATTCAGGGAAAAATTTGTACACGAAATTCTAGAAATTTTGAGATTCGTATGCGAGAATAAGTTTTCCTCGGAATAGATAAATCCTTTTTAAACCATTGATTTTCGAGTTCTCGTCTTCTAGTCAGATCTTTTTATGTGACTAGAGCATCAAAAAATTTTTCAGATACAAAAAATAAATAAAGTAACGTCTAATTACGTAAGTATTGAAAAGAATGTAGAAGAATGAAAATTGTAAAGAAATAACATCTAAATATTGGAGCAAAAAACACTTGAAATGATTAAGTATATAGTTCATCTGTATAATATGAGATTGAATGTACATCTTACCTCATGGATTTTCACTGAAATATGAAAATAGTTTGACGAAAAAACACGAACGGAGAAAATAATACCAATAATCGATCAGCACTAGAAATCCCATTCCAAAGCTCGATTCTCGTGCTGCACGCGACGCGTTGGGAATCTGATACTTGGTGATCTCATATTATATTATCATGCGTTTATATACATTTATCTGTGTGTATATGTTCTGTGTATTCGTGTGCGCGTGTGTGTGCACAAGTTCGATCTTCGATGGCGTTAGATGGAAGCTCCGCCCTGCAACCAATGATCTTGCAACCGCAGGGGGGAACAAGGCTGGACTTGGCGTTTTGTTGTTCGCGCGCGCAGAACGCCCTCGAGTTGCCGTCGCGTAACCCTTGCTTCGACGGCCTACGGAAATCTTGCGCTCTCGCAGGAAATCGTCAGGTCTCTCGGCACTTGTTCCCCGCGACTCGACCGATCGGACGCCTGATCTTTTGGCGTAAGAATCGGATCTCCTTATCATATTTCAACTTTCTGCAGAAAATTTACGATTGCCTGCAGTCAGTAAGTGAACTTTTAGAGATATCAACAAAACTTGGAGCCGGTGGATGTTACTTTTCGTGGACTATTTTCACTACGACGAAACGAGTTTAGGGGTGAGTTTCTTTATTGCTTTTATTTACGTGGTAAAAAGCTCCAAAGTGTTTTGAAAAATAATTCGATTCATCTATAATTCTTGATGTGATAAAATATTAATATGATTTTTAACATTTCATGTTTGTATATTTGACAGGAGCTACATTTTCATAAATCTTGAGGTTTATTATAAAATAAGGCGCAAATTTGAATAATTAATATAACATTTCAATAGATTCTGAATAGTATAGAAATATTTTATTACGTTTAATGAAATGTCTACAATATCTAAAATATCATTGCCTCTCAAACAAATTATTACCTTTATATCAGATTTTTAACTTTAAATAAGAATAACAGTTCATTCGATGGCATGAAAAGTTTATTAAACGTTACATCATGTCAATGATTTGTGCAGTTAACTAGTGAACTTCTGATTAGGTCACTTTTGTATAATAATTTATAAATAATGTTTCATCTTTTATCGAAAGAGATCAAAAATCTGTTTGTGAAATTGTAAAATCTTAGAAGATCTAAATTTTGTGGTATTTTTTAATATTAAATGCGAATTTTGCAAAAAGAAAAATAAGAGCAGCCGACGTACTATCGAATTAACGTGAATGAAAAAAATTTTATGAGAGCTAGACTTTAACTTTCAATATTAATATCTTCACCCTTTTAAAGCCTTTTGTTTTACCTTTTTGTTTTGCCTTTTTGTTATAATTATTATTATTTTTTTCATACTTATGAATATAAAATTAGACTATTTTAAGGGAGGGAGTTCACTTGTTTTCGATTGATTTTTATTTTATTTTTAAATGGTCATACCTTCAAGAGTATTGTGTTAAAATTGTATGTTAAATCCGAGAAAAATTAACGAAGTTATGGTAATTTTAATGCAAGTACACTGTCTCGTATTTTAGCATCATTCACATGCTTAGAGCCCTTAAATTTTGGGCAGTTATGTATAGTTTTGATTTTGGAAGGTCTAAAATTATAAAAACACCATCAAAAATATGCTATGGACATCCTAAATTACCTCCCCTTATTGTATAAACCCGGCATAGACAAAGAAAAAAGAAACAATAAAATCCACGTTAAATACCTCAAAATCTTTGAACGCGCTTCCTGAAAGTTCGAGTTGGTGTATATATTATCACTCAAAAACTAATGAATCGATCATTCTGAAATTTTACACATACCTTCTCGCATCATTTTACTAGTTAGGGACGTAGAGATGTATTCATTTTTTGAAATTTTTTTTATCATCGTTTTTTAAGTTGGAAAATGTAATTTTTTTTGGCATTTTTTAATTTAAAAGAATCGCCAAACGATCAAAAATCAAATTTATTGAAACAATTCGACGTCACTAGAAGAATTGTTTAAACTTGAAAAAAACTTCGAAGTTTGTTTCGGATAATCCTATCAAGATTTATCGTATACACCGCAGTTTTTGAAGTGTGAGCTACCGATGCCTGCCATAGCCTCATTTTTTGTTATTTTTTAATAAAAATTCTATTAAGTACTCTTGAAAGGTGGATTTTTAGCTTAAACATCAATCCCATAAACGTATCTTTACCAGATTGAAAGTATAAGTTTTTAAAATCGTGCAAAAATAATCAAAAATTAAGTACACTAGGGCTGTGCGAGTACTCGAAAAAATTCGACTTGTCGAGTTCGAGTTTTTTTCTCCAGTTCGAGTCGAGTACTCGATTTTTTTCGGGTACTCGCGTTTTTCTGAGTACTCAAATTTTATCGGGTTCTCGAGCTTTTTCGAGTAATCGAGTTTTTTCGAGTACTCGCAATGTATTTAAGTAATAAGTAAATAAATAATGAATGAACAGTCTTTAGACCCTCTCTCTTTGTGTGTACATGCTTATAAGTGTGATATTCGCAGCGGATTGGACTGGAAGAAGAAAATAATTTAATAGTACCACACTTCATCACACTTATAAGCATGTACACATAAAGCCAGGGGTCTAGAGACTGTTCATTCATTATTTATTTACTTAAAACTTAAATATATTGCGAGTACTCGAAAAAACTCGATTACTCGAAAAAACTCGAGTACTCAAAACTTCTCGACTCGACTCGAACTTGACTCGAACTCGACTCGTCGTATAATCGGGTACTCGAACAGCCCTATACACCACCTCCTCCTTAAAGTGTGATCTTATAAGGGTCAATTAAACGATTAGATTAATCAATTAAAATTTTTAACAAGGCGGCAATTATATTATACATCAGTTGTAGGGTTTATTTAAGTAAGATATACGAATGAAAACAGAGGTCAGCCCATAAAATTAGAGTTACTTTTGTAAGAGTTATTAACTAAACACTGTAAATAATACTGTAAATAAAACTGTAACAGTTTTGACAGCTTGTAAAATTCAAACGATTTGTTGAACTTGCAATTTTCGCAGAAAACCTTATTTTAAACTGACCTGTAAATATAAAATTTAATTTTTGACATTTTTAATCGACCGAAATTAAAAAAATTTGTATATTTTAAAAGAAATCTTTTATTAACATAAAATAGTGAATTGGCTTGCGATTATAGATAATTGAACTAAAAGTGTTCGAGTTAAGAATGACATTATTCCATTTGAATTTTATAAGTAAATTGAATACAACGAATCATTTTTAATCAGTTGCATGGTGTATGATGAGCTCTTCATAAATGAAAAATAGTAATCTATATTACACAGAGCGTAGATATATATAAATCTAATAGCACCCCTTCGGAATCGCGGAAGATCAAGAGATTAATATAACACTCGATGAAAAGAGTAAATTAGCAAGACATTAGCACCTCGTCGAGAACATATCACGGTCCGTTAGGGAATGAATTATTTATAACCGATCGAGCGATAGGAAGTGTTTGCATTTCATCGCATATATATCCAGAGCGTCGCACGTCGAGCATTGTTTAATCGTGCACGTGCCAGATACATCGAAATTCTCGATAGTCCGAGTGGCTCCAATAGCACGAACAATCCAGCATATTATAAATAGAAAATGTACAACACCTGCTCGAGCGTATTGATGTGTCGCGTACGTCCATACGCCACAGAGCTTTTGCTACTTCGTGCAAAAATTGTTGAATAATTGGCTCTGTTATGTACGCGCGGCGCATATGTCACCGTTGCGGGGTGACTTTTCATGGCTGACCGATCGCGTGCCTCGTACATTTCACGGCTGACTTTGCAGGCGAAAGTCGCACTTTTTGCCTCGATTCCTTTCCCCCGCGAAGGGATTTGCACCTGCACGCGGGCCGTGCATTTTAGTCTCCGTGAGCTATGTTGCGATTAAAGCTGTAATTAAGTCGACGCGTTGCGGCAAGCTACAAGAGCAGCATATGCATATGGTCTTTTTGTGGTCTCTTGCCAGTACGTATCGAGTTTCTGTCTCTCTTCATAAGTAAGACTCCCTCCAGCGTAATTGGTATGTAGCTTATAATCAGTGGAAAGATTGAAAAATCACTTATTATTATAATTCATAAAACTTGACGTTACGTAGAATGACTTTTTTGACGTAAGCGCGTAATTGTTATTGATTCAAATCAAACTAAATTTGCTGGTTCATCCAGCCTGGATGTATAACGAATTAATAATTGTTACAGTTAATATTGATGAGCACCGAGATTTTTCTCTCCGAGAAAATTAATCTCGAGTAAATAAACCTCATATTCACATTTGCTCTAGCGCACACATAGATAAAGAAATTTCAATAATAAGATTTTTACTTGTAAGAGACAAGATTGTCCATAGTTATTATTAATAAAATGCGTGTATTCACTGTAATGATTGTTTAATTGATAAATCGTTTATTATGTATATGATGGTTAGATTTGTCTATACTCGTAATTCACTGCATCGTTCATTTTAAGTTATAATTTTTATTTATGAAATCAGAAAATTTTCAACGAAAATGAAGAATGGGCTGTGCGGGATAAATTTTCGTTCACATGTCAAATTTTGAGTGATAGAATAACAGTGGATGCGTAAAACAGTCCCATTAAAATGTCTTGCATTTCATAGTCGATTAATCTTTTCAGCAGACATTTCTCATTCGAAATGTTATGTTGACTATACCTACATTTTTCTGGTATCAATTCTGGTGTGTTTAAGAAATCGTATTTTTGCAAGCCAAATTTCTGAAATGCAGCAACGAGTAATTTTTTTCGTATCGATGGCATATCTTTATCAATCCAATAAAAATCACCCTAGTTCGAATAATCGATCGTTTCATCGATACGAACTGCAACGTTGAACAACAGAGTATCGAATGCATTTCTATATTTTTGTGCAATCCATAATTTAGCCCATATTGTCGGTATAGGTAAAGATAAATGCTAGTTCGGGCCGCTAAACAGTTCTGCACTTGCTTCGTCGAAAGAACGTAAACGCGGGCATGATACGCGCACTCGGTCACGCAATCAGTGCGCATATTATATGCGCTACCACGTGTGTGCATACACATTACACGGGGCGGTAATTGCGCTTTTTCCGTTGAATGTAACTTTTCGCGGCATATGGCCAATTGCACCTATATTTGCAAGACATTGACGCTCGATCGCTGTGTTATTTTTCCTCCGACGAGGCATGGGTACTTTAATCACGGTCAAATTCATATACCATGCAACTTCGACACATGCTTATAGGTCAGTCTTGCATTGCTTTTTTAATTTCTTTTTATATAAAATTAGTTCAAAATGATTCAATCAAGTTGACGAGGGTGCGACTTTGTAAATCATCGTCGGCATAGCATCAAATTTGCTCTTCATTTTTTAACCATTACTTTGTGTGGGACGAGTAGTTGCGCGACAATCGTATACGAATTACATTAGCCGAGAGAAAAAAAAACAATATTGATTTTATATGGTGGCGAACGAGCATTATGTTTTAAGATGGCATGGAAGAGCGCGACTAATTCAGCCAGATCGATCAACGGTGCGGAACAATTTTTTTCGCCTGAGGAGAAAATAAAAATTGAAAATGACGCACCACGTGTTACGTGACGATGAAAAAAATTTACATGATGCATTTTTTACACGTAGCCAGGGAGTATTGGAAAGTCATCGAATCGACATTAGCGCGGTTGCGGAGAAAAGACGACCCTTTTGTGGCTGTAAATGCGATAGGATCTACGACGTTGTCGCGGAACGACGACAATTTCTCATTGCGGGCAGTATATGTTAGATTGCTTTTTCAAAAGTAACACCGGCCGCCTTCAATGTCCTATCCTCGTAATTGGACTCGTTAACTTTTCTATCCGAGCTTATCTTTGATGTGTCTTTTTCCTTTCGACACGTTACTTTTGTTTTGTACGTATGAAATAATAATTGTCCTCTCGAATGTAGCCTTAATTCATCGATCAATATGGGTTTCGCAGTCCGTAATTTGTACCCGATTCCATGCTCGAAAAGGGCATCGCTCTTACAACAGAGCTATGGAGCATCAATTTGTAATCAAATGCCAAGTGTATTCAACAGAGAAGTTGTTGGATGTTTTCGAGAGTCTGACCCGCGTGAAATTCGACACTTTGAATCGGAGCCGTTAGTGGTGTAGGATAAACAGGCTAAAAAGCGTAAACGCGAAAGCGATGAATAATTAATGTCAACAAGTAGTCGTGCAGTAGTTGTGTGTATATCCAGGGCGGAGTCGCGTCGTTCCGCACTCGAATCGTACAAGTCGCAGGCAAACACATAAGCTCCGCCGTCGACATATGCCGCGATATCCGTCACGCATCGCCGGTCCCCGCATCCCTCGTACTCGCTGCCTAGTCGTAGCAGCATACACGCAAGCCCTAATTGTACATCATCGAGCAGAAACGATAATAATCCCTTCCTTCCTTCGCCCTTTTTTTTTGCTTATCTGCAAGGTGAGCGCTAGCTCGATCTAAAACTGCCACACTCGACGCTCCGCACAACGTAATAGTTTTGTAGGTCGGTAAATAGTCGTCCTTTGTAAAGGTCGCGCACGTGAGTCAACATTCGTAACGAAGGCGCGAGTTTGGCAATCAGTGCGTGATACACACACGGCACTTTACAATCCTTATCGATTCCATCGCGTTTATGTAATTTATCGTGCGGACTCGAGGTTCCGAAACGTTTATTCGCGCGATTACCGGAGGCCATGTGGAATGGGACGAATTAAAAAGACCAGAGTCATTGTTTTAACTGCGGCTTGCGATGAAAATCGAGTCTCGTCGTGCACCGAAATTCATTGGAGACAATTCTGGGACAGAATCAAGCAAACACTCGATTATAATTTTACAAAATTGTCCTGTACGAGGCAGATATTCAAAAATCCATTGAAACCGCAGGCCTAGAATAATGGTCTTGACGAAGGCGAGCTTTGCCTGCTCCCCGTTGGCCAGCAAAAATATTGTGACAAGTCGAGCAGCCGTTGTTGGCACCCCCGGCATCATGAAGCACGAGCGACGCACGCCACTTATTCGCCAGGCCTTTCTCTCACGTGTATTATTATATTTACCTTTCTAATACACGGATTTGCAAGTGTCATTTATATTTCCTGCGCCCGCGGCGAGAGATATATAAGAGACAGGAAAGAAGCAAGAAAAAGAAAGAGGGTTGTTTCGTCATCGTAAAGGTGAATTATGTCATACACCGTCTCGCCCTATAAGTTATTCATCGAAAAATTATTAGTCGAAATAATTCCCTTTTTTCGTGCAGGCGGGCGATTTTGAAAAATGGACTTTATTCGTGCTCGAGCGCGGACGAATTATGTAACCGATTCGACGAGTTTTTTTTTTCCCAAAAATTAACACTCGTTGCAAACAATTTCCAATGAGCTCTCGAAAAAGTAATTGTCCATCCATCAACCGTAAATTCCAAACAATCGGCACATTTTGCACATCTCAAATTTTATCCGTGCGCAGCTCCTCGAGAGATAGACATTGATACTTACACCGTACATCTAACATCGACAAGCTCTTCCTCTCTTTCTCCAGTAAATCGAGCAAAACACGTCTTTCTCGTCAAGTGTAGAGGAGCGCGCGGACGCGAGTGCGGCTTTTGTCGCTTGCTGCACTCAAGCACTCGAATTTTGCCCAGGTCTGGCTTAGAAAACACGTTTTTCGCTTTTACCGAGCTTTTTTCCCGGCCGAGCGCGCGGGGAAAAAAAGAAGGATACTTGTAACAGAGAGCCGAGTTGGACTAGCGCTGTACGCTGCGTGTTTTCGTGCGGTTTGCTCCCTTCGCGCGCAAAACGTGCACTGCAACTCATTGCATTATTAATAAACGCGTAAAGTGGTCAACTTTTACTCTTTGGTGTACCTTCGAATAAAGTGACGTTTGTGTAATATTTTTTTTTTGAAAAAGTCATTGAGAACCAATACGTTGGAAAATATGCCCGATGAAAGATTTATCAAAGTCGGAGAAATCATCGGGTGATGAATAATGCAAATTTCTACAAGGTTCAGCTGCTAATTAGCCCAGAGTTATGTACGTTAAATGCAGGAAAATATATATTTATGAAGCATGTCTAACATCGTATCAGCTTGCTCGACTCAATGCCAATGTATCGAGTCTGTATCAACATGTAATTTTAGCACAGAGCGTATAACAGTAATCGATAGGGAAATAATTTCAAAAGGGGTAAAAAGTAACGTCGGAATAGCGCGGGTAATTATCTCGATTGAATTTAGAATCCTATCGAACGGCACGGCGAATGACACGAGGACTAACTACGCAATATCCATTCTAGTCGATAATGAATATATGCCTCAAGAAATAATACCTGAAGTTTCAGCCAAACTTGCGAAAAAAATTGTCTAACGAATCGTCCAAGTTCTCGAAAGTACTTCGGAAAGTAGCGCAAGTTCGCGCCGTTTCGTTGACGAAAAAAAATTACGACAAAGGCTCTCTCGGGCTAGCTACACGAGTACAACCCTCGCACGAAACTGTTCATTAGCTCATGCAGTATGCAACGAGTAACATATACAGCTCGAACGTATAGTGATTCGTTGAAAAACTCAACTGCGTTATAATATGTGCGAAATAAGCTAGTCAATGGGAGCTCGCGTGTGTCCTTTTCGCCTCATATACATACGATACGCTAAGTTTCCTTCTCGATAGATCGGCCACTAGTTATGACAAAAGCAACGATCGTTCACAGAAAAAACTTGATTAATCCACGAAAGGCAGACTCGTGCACATTTAGACTTTACTCTAGCCTCGTTTTGCCGCATATTTAATGCGCGACGTCGTGCATACAGCTATGTAGCATGTAGTTGTTTTCTCGAACGGGCTTTTGCCGAAGCGCGTGGAGCTATTTCATTCGCCATGAGGCTAGTCTGGCCGCAAACCATCGTCTGATTATCGGTTGCATGGCAAAATATCGACACACTAATAGCGCCACACCAACGGCTATACGTATACATGCACCTACTCCGCGCCCAATGTGCCATTATCATGTACAATACAGCCGGTCGTGATTCTTTATATGTAGCAGGTGCATAATTTATGCAACGGAACCGAGCACGCCTTGCATCCCTATAACTTATTCATTTGCAGTTGCAATGGCGCAGGCAGAAGCAGTGATTTGAGCGATGCCGCCCGTTTGTCGCATCGCCAAAAGCTCGCAGCCCAAAATATCGAGCAACATATAAGAATTTCACCGGCGGTCTCCCTGCGGATGATGGAAGAAAACGGAAGAGGGGACGGCCTGTGCAAAGTTTGCGGCGACAAAGCCTCGGGTAAACATTACGGAGTGTCGAGCTGCGACGGTTGTCGGGGCTTTTTTAAACGCTCCATACGCAGGTATGCGAGGTAACTATTGCTCCCGACATTTTCGAACACTTTACTCTTTTGACTTTTTGCGCGACTAACGTTTATTCGTGTTTTTTCACCCCTACATTTCACCGCTTCCAAATAGAAATTTGGACTACGTGTGCAAGGAGAATGGCCAGTGCATCGTCGATGTGTCGCGGCGCAATCAGTGCCAGGCTTGCCGATTCACCAAATGCTTACAAGTCAACATGCAGAAGCACGGTACGTTAAGCGACAATTGCTTTTCATTATTTACAAGAAAATATGCTTCTTCAAACGACGCCCAAGGTTCGCGCTCGAGGCGACGAAAATCAGTGCGAATTTTGTAATATATATCGTGTCAGCGAGAGCGTAAAGTTGGGCTAAAATAGATCGAACATCGGGCGTCAAAAGCGCAAACACTCGAAGCGCCGAACGAAAGTGGATAGTTGAAATCGTCGGCGGAGCTCGACATAATAGCTCTCGTTACGAGCTGACTAGTGCAGAGTTGGTGCGCGCGTCAACCGTATTATATTTACCGGGGATTTAAAGCTCGCATTGGGAGAGAGAGATTGCCCGTGGCTGCTGCCAACTGCGTCAACGACAGCTTCTGCAAACAATCCGTGAGTGGCGCGCCGCCTCCTGCAAAGGGTCTTTCTCGCCTCAAATATATTCTATATACAAAAGCAAACACTTGATTTTCATTGACGATATCAATTAGCGGCCGGACCATTAGTAGAATAGCAAAGCTCAAAGCCCACAGCCATCAGCTGTATTATGTCCTGCGCTTGATACAGATATAAACATTTGCTATATATGGCTCTCGGGGTGTGATTTCGTGGCCCCTCGCAGTCACCTCTCGAACATTCGAGCCATCGAGAAAGATTCGATTACAATAATGACACTCGCAACTACTCGAATAATCATCCATCGAGCGACTCGAAATTATAAATAAAAATATTGCCCTCGACGCGTCAACGAAATAACATTGACTCAAACTCTTGTTTAACAAGTCCATTTGCTTACACGCGTGTGTCCCAAATACAGCGGTACAGCACGAGCGAGCGCCGAGGAGCGTGCAGACTTCGCCGGGCGCGACGACGGCCTCGTCGACGCTGTTCGCGATGGCGGCCGCAGCGGCGACCACGAGGAAAGTCAGCCACCAGCAGCAGCAGCAGCAGCCACCGCCGCCGTCGCTGCAGTCGTGCGCGGCCCTCTACCCAGCGGCCAGTCACGTCTACCACGGGGCGGCTGCCGTTGCCTCGGCCGCGCCTTACCACCCCCTCCTCTATCCTGCCCTCTTCTCATTCAAGCCGAGCGCCGGCGTGCCGAGCTTTGCATCCAGCCCAGGTTTGTGCATAAACATGCCATGCTCAACATTTTTTATTATTTTCATTTTTATTTTTACGTAATTCGCCAAGCAAATGAGGTTTGTCTGGTTGTAAAGTAGCAGCGGACTCGCGTACCCGGTAGAGAGAAAGAGAGAAAAAAGCCACCGCGGCACTTAGGCAAAGCTTGTAGTATTAATGGATATCGATTACCGAGGTACATGTCAAAAAAAAAAAGGAAAAAATTTCTTCGCAGATACGAGCGACTTGCTTCGTCTGACGACAGCTGCGCATTTCGTGCCCCGGCCTGCGGCAGTCGAGCCGTTGCAACAGCAGCAACAACCCCTACCAACCTCTTCAGTCGGTGGGAAAGAAGACGAAGTGACAAGTTCCGAAGAAGCTGCCGCCAACGATCGATTACACTTTAAGAAAAGTACTGCACCTCATCCCTTAGCTACCCATCTGTGTCAAAACATCTGCGTCTTACGTCATCTCTCTCTCTCTGTTTCTTGTTTTCTTTGCCAGTTTCAGATGATCGCGTCATGTCGACCAGATTGACCAACCCGCTAATTTGCACCTCCTTCTCCGATGGACACACTGCCAACTTTTCGCTGCTGCCCACGGAAAATATCAACGAGCTCGCGGCCAAGCTGCTGTTCCTCGCCGTCAAGTGGCCCAGAAGCATTTCTTCCTTTCTGCAGGTAAACGCTACCAACTTTACTCCTGCCCCTCTTGAACAACTCGTGTTTTTTCATTCCGCAGCTATCGTATCGCGACCAAGCTATACTGCTCGAAGAGTCATGGTTCGAGTTGTTCGTGCTGACCGCAGCCCAATGGAACTTTCCCGTGGAAGAGTCGCAGCTCATACCGGCCACAACGCCAGCCTACAAGCGTCAGATTCTCAGCGACGAGGCGCGTCGTCTGCGCGAACTTCTGACCCGATGCGCCATACTGCAGATCGACCACTCGGAGTACGCCTGTCTCAAGGCTATAGTATTGTTCAAAGGAGGTACATTTCGATTCCTCTGATGAATGCATTTTTCAATTTTTATTTTTTTTCACGTAATTCTTGAGTAAGTTTAGTACAGGGACGTTATCAATCGGGACAACAGGTCAGTTGAACTGTTCCATCCGGACAACAGGGCGCTGGACAGCAGGGCACGTTATAACATGGCTGAGGCCAACAGCTCGGATTACATTTGTACCATTTATCGGTCTGCAATAGAGAAAAAACAATTCAATTTTCATTGATTTCGCGACGCCCTGTGACTGAAATTACCCCTTGCATGAAGTAACATCGTCCGCGCAAAGGCATCGCTCTATTGTCGTTTTTGTACAAGACTTTATTCGAGGTCGGCAGATATTCGTGGATAGATGAGTAGATGATCAGAGGACTTGGTCCGGTTGGCGGAGGTCGGGGTTGGCATTTGCTCGATGCGCATTTCGGCCGAGGAACTTTTTCCTTTTTTGCCGCCCGACAAACCGACGTGTCTCGTCTGGATCGTGTGAAAAATTTGAGTATACAAAATATTAGTAGCTGTAGATAGGTCGCGTGACGCGTAGACTACTCACAGGGCATCCATTCGGTCGATGAGACACTGCATACGATTGATCTCATGGCCGGGACTTACAACTTGGTTGGAGAATCCCCAATTTCCGAGGGCTTCGGCGACTCCTGTACCGTCACCCTTCGAGTACGTCATCGTGCACGGCTGACACTTTGGCATTTTTTCTTTTTTTTTCTTTTTCTGATAGTACTTAACTTGAATACTAGTTTTTATTAAATTAACTGGAAAATTTTGAGGCGTCCGTCGATTAACGACCGTGACTAAACTTTGTTTGTTAGGCTATGTCGATCGAATGGCTCGATTCTCATTTATTTATTTCATGATTTTTCATCGCGATTCATTTGATTTCAGAATCTCGGGGTCTGAGCGATGCAGCCCGCGTCACCGCTTCGCAGGAGCAAACCGTTTCCGTACTATCGGATCGTGGAGGTCGGGTTGGCCAGTTGCTGCTCCTATTGCCACCCATAAGGGCTTTGTGTCGGCACACTTTGCAAGAGTTGCTTTTCAAGCAAACCATCGGCGAGGCCGATTTCGAGCGTCTACTCGGGGACGTGGTTCACATGCCAAGACCACATTGAACCATTTCAAACGCCCACGATGAGCTTTTAATATTCTAAATCAATCGACAAGATTTCATACCAAAGAAAAACATTATGAGTTCGAGGTTTCAAATAAAGCTTTGTAAAAATGTACTATACCTTATTATTAGCTGTGTAAATTTGTATTTTATAAAGGGCTCAAAGATTTCTTAGGTCGCCTTGCACACTTTTTTCATAATATCCATCTTAAAATTACTCATGAAGAGCTACCTGTGGATTGGGTCACTCCGAATGAGATTATGTTGGCAACCGTTGATGATCCAAAATGTTCACAACTTGCGCTCCATTGCTCAATTGGTTCGCTTTGAATATTAAGAAAAGGCAAGGTAATTTAAAAAATATTCTATAAGAGGATAAAATGCCAGAAAACGAAAAAGAAGGAAAAACTTGGCACGAAAAATACCTACGAAAACTGCTGTATTATTTCAGTGTGAAATTTTTAAATTTAACAAAATGCAATAGAAAAGGAAAAAGAATTCTTTTACAAAATTGATTAAAATTTCTTTCGGCTTTAAGCCCCCTTTGAGCCCATTGCATTTAGAAGATATTTATTTATGTTTGCTACGTATTATACATACATTCAATTAATGAAACTTAATACGATAATCCTTCGAATTTAATAAACTGATAACTGAAATTTATAATACTTTTCTCAAAGTAGTTGATATGGAATAATGTAATCTTCGTCTAAATTTATTGAAGTTCTATACATAAATATATTTAAATTGTACATTTATTACATTTAAATTATGATGAAAAAAAATCATTTGTTAAATAATTGTGTAATGGAGACTTTGAAACCAAATTTCAATAAACTTCAAGACTCTCGAAAAAAAATACTGTAACCAATTTCGACTTCAAACAGTTGTTGAAAAAAAGAACTAAAAGATCAAAAACCTTATATTTGCTAAATTAAACTTATTATGGTTTTGATGGCCTAATAATTTTTTCATTTTTTCGTATAACGTCTTTACAAAATTTATAATCACGGTCTGATACAAAATCAGTTATAGCAATGTTCATTCCACCGAATCCTGGATAGTTTTTTTTCAACCATTTGTCTGAAACTTTCTCCATTTCCCCACCTAAACTGGCGTGCAGATTGCTTAAAAATTTTTCTCTGCTGTGCACAAAATACATTGGACCAGCTGTCAAAATAATCTGTGATACAAAGCCGACCGTATCGTTACGCGTTGTTACTCCGTCGTCGAGAAATTTTAAAAGTTCACTTGCTTCAGCGGTATTGCCCCACGGATTGGGCCATAGGTTACCTGGCCACAAGTTTTCATGATCATCAACTTTTGGATCACGGTAAATAACAATTACTTGTTGATTTTGGGAATTCAAAAATTGCACGGTCAATTTTTTCATCTTCGACGTTTTGGGAACAAGCTTGTCTTTGAAAATATCATTGATCTTTCTTATAAGTACGTCATGAATTGTGCTGTTGAAGTTGTACAAATGTTGAAAATCTAAGATTATAATTTCCTTCTGATGATTGTCAAGCCAATCGGAAATACTTTGAAGATGTTCGGTTATTTCTTCTCCATTCAGTCCGTGGACAAAGTAAAATTCGTTGCTGCTACGGTTTGCATAAACGCGCAAATCCAAGTAACGTATGCCATGATTTAGTTGATCGGTCACATTTGAGTTTTGATTAACCGACCAGTTGAATATGGGGTTTTTGGAGAAAAAACTTATAATTCTCTTTATTCCAACAAACTTATCTCTTGCAATGGTGCTGTTTTTTTGTATTGTATAAGTCATGCTATTGTGCGAACCTGTTTGAAATTCACAAATTATGGAGTCAATGCGTTTTTTTAATCTGTATAGTGCAACATTATTATAATATGACCTGGTATTGCAAGATATATTATAGGTACTCTTTTCAATTTTGGAGGGAGACGGGTCATCCAGTATTCTAGATTTTCATACCAAAAATTAGTCTTAATTTCATTTTCATCCTTTAATTTTGCATCAGCAACCTAACAAAGTAATTTATAAATACAAAAGATTTTGATCAAAACGATTGTTTAAACAAATTAAAGTAATGTCACTCACAATAAAATCGCTGAAACAAATAGGAAGTTGAAAAATAAACAATAACGATAAAAATAAAAAATACTTATGCATCTTGAGACGGTTTTTTTAATAAATTTTATTGAAAATCCAAAAAATATTTAATACAAAAACTGTGTGCACTGCTTCAATAATGCACTTTAAAACAGTTCAACTTGAAGTAAATTTTCGTCATACTTTTATTACTTAGTATAAACGCTCGTAAAAATACAAACGACTTTTGCATGAGCTCAAAATTAACACTTAGTGACACGATTTTTTGAATTTAATTCGTTCCCTGAAGAATGTATATTAGGTAAGAAAATTTCCATCGTTATTTCATATCAATTCATATTACCAAAATGTATTTATGCGTATTTTTGTTCGCAGCTGTCTGTACTTTACAGATGTTTTTTGTGGAAAAAGGTAAGTTACAAAAATATTAGATTTTACTTAGAATTAAAATTGACTTTTTTAATGCATGTGAAAATGTCAGCCTCGGCTGGTGTGTCATTTAGAAGCGGCGATTCTTCGAAAAGAGGCCCCCGTCACATCATCGATATACCTAGAGAGCAGAATCAGGAACCACAGGAAGGATTAGACTTGCCTGGAAATTTAGGCGAAGAGGAAGTGCATCCTAATCATCACCTACATATAGGAAATGAACAACCGCAAAACGGTGAAGGCTTACATTTGCCCGAGAATTTCGCTGTAGATGACATACATGGAAATGTGAGAGTAGATCCACCTCGAATCGATGTGAGAGTACCTAATCAAGAAGCAAGAGGTAATAATCAAAGACCTGGAGGTGACGAGGGTTATGACCTGCCTGGAAATTTTGCCGTAGGAGACATACATAGAGTAGTTAATGAAGCGGTATCAGAATTACCTGGAAATTCTAATTAATATTTAATAAATATGCATACATTACACAAATAAATTGATATATATTTGTAATGTACTTTTTGGTTGGCTATGTTCAGTTTTTTAATTTTTAATTTTGCTTTTATGTAAAAATATAATATATGCTTCAAAGTTATATTACGATTGCTTGGGTTATCCATGACTAAATTAAAAAAAAAGTTAGACGTTTCAGTTATTTTTTATTCTCGTCCACGTGTAAAGTTAACGTTTATTTTTTCAAAACTCTTACTATAAAATAGTTTGATCTTTTTTGTTTTAATTCATTCGTAATTTTGAATGAATGTGCTTTGGTATAATAATTTGCAGAAGAACTACATTAATTCTACAAGTAACTGGCAGATTTATAGATTTTAACCATTAAAGTACTCGGAAAATATTTTCACTTAAGAAAAAAATAATAATGTTATACGTTTGCCTTTTCAATACATTCAAATGTACAGCTCTTTATTTTTAAAATTAAATATCGCGTTAATACTTGTGAGTTGTTCAGAGATTACATAACAATATCTAGTCTTATTTTATACGACGTAGATATAGATTTGATACTTCTCATGTTACATTTTTGGTATATGATTACAAATTTTTTACCTCGTACAAATTTAATTATTATTTACATGCACGCATTGACAACGTGATAAAAAAATAATAACATTTATAACAAACTTAATGTATAGTTTGCTCGAACTGGCTCTATAATTTCAATATGAAGTACAACATCGAAGATAGACGGAGGCTTACGCAATGAGAAACTTCTCATTCCGTTGAATAACAGTTTTCACAAAAAGAAAATCTGTATGCGAGACGAAATCGGTCATGACTACGTTCATTCCCCCGTCACCGGGATAGTTGCTGTTGACCCAGTCCAAGGTCAGCCTCTGCATCTTGTTGCCCAGCGCCTTCTCCAAATTACCGAAGAAATGCCGCGATATGTAACCGTGATCGGGTGTCAGCAGGCTTTGCGAAATGAAGCCGATGCTGCGGTCGCGATTCCTCAAACCGCCGTTGAGAAAATGCACGAGCCGAGTGCGGCTGACGGTCTCGGCCCAAGGCGTCGGCCACAAGCGATCCAGCCAGAAATTGTCGTCCGCGGCCACGACGAAGTGCCGGTAAATTATTATAACCTGGTACTTGCGCGAGTTCATCCATCTGAGCGACACGTTGCCGGGCGCGTTGAAACGGGGACACATTTTACCGCGAAAAATATCCTTTATCAGGTACATGAGGTCGCGATGATGCTGCTCGGTGAAATTGTAAAAGTGTTGAAAGTCCATAATGACGACCTCCTCGGGATGTTTCGTAAGCCAGTCGGCCACTTGGCGCAGAGGTGGCCCTATCTCACCGCCGTACAGGCCGTGAACAAAGTAGAATTTGTTGTCCATTTTTTTTGTGGCTAGACGCAGATCGAGAAATCTGACGCCACCGTCGAGCTGCTGCGTCACGTCGACTTTCTGATTGATGGCCCAATTGAAGGCGATGGTTTTCGTCAGATTCGGAAATAACAGGTTGACCGTGTTCACGAGGCCCGGATTGTCCGGACCGAGATCATTGTTTTTGTCGATCGTGTAGGTCATGCTGTTGTGCGAGCCTATCGTACAGATAGTTCACATAAATTATTTACTTTTTCACAGTCTACTTTTAAATTAAACATAAAAATCAAATTAGCTCTCAATTATCGTGTCCGTGTTTGGAAAAAAAATCCGATTGTAAAGCGAGCTTTATCAGCGCGAACTATATTTGCCAAGGTATTCATAAATCAAGTCAATGCTTAATATTCATCGTGCAACAATAAAGGCGTCCTTCAATGAACAGTAGAGTAACTTCATTCAAGATTATATACGAACGTACTCATTCAATTGAAAATAAATCAGACTTCCTTGTTATTTATGGTACTTTTTGTGATACAAATGCGCGCTGATTTTATTGAGTTTTTTTTTGCAGCTGCTGCATAAAACAGTGTACCTGGTATGGCGAGTTGTATGATCGGCAATTCGCGAATCGACTCTGGCAAGAGCGACATCCAAATTTCCAGATTCTCCCACAAAATCGGCAGATCGTCGTGATTACTGGTACCGTTGACGATCGGTTGTGTGTTTCTCTTCGTAATCATCTTGTAAACTGCAGCTGCGCCAGTAATTTTGTCGTTTACCTGTAGCTGTACACATGTTAATTATAAATCTGATTATGTACTGCTATGACATACGAATTTCGCGTAACGCGTACAAGTATGCGTGTAAACAGCGCACAAAAACAAGCTCTTGCATATGAGCCAACGTTTTATGCTGGCATACGTGAAACCTAGTTACACGAAACATTATGATTATTATTACTAGCTGCAATTGCGCGCAAAATATGGAAAAGAGATGATCGTGGAGTTGACTTACGAGCGGAGTTTTAAGTCCTTCGCCTGAACTCACGGTCGAACAGCTCAGACTCCATATGTTGATTGCCACAGTTATCGCGATAAGCAGCGACATTTTCCCCTATAATTTTTTTTTCTTTTCAATTTGAGCCCGAATCAAGACTTTAGTGCACTAACATTGTTTCGAGTCGAACGAAGAAATTTGCACCGAATCGACTTTCAAATATCATGGCGTTCGCATCTATCAAGTCAGGTTCGTTGATTTTTCTGCGCGATCGATAAGTTACACATGAACGAAATTTAGATCATTTAGTGCACCGTTGTCAACTGGAATTTTGCGTTTCGCGATTGTATACAAAAAAAGTTAAAGCAACAAGAACCAAAGAAAGGAGAGCGCGAGCCGTCTCTGATGACGTTCGTTCGACAACTGAATGGATCCAGAGAACGAGAAGGCGCGCTAAGCGTCCGTCTGCGCTTGCATCGCTGCTGGTGTAGAGCTCTGAATCATTTACACCGCCGCTGTAGCAGTCTACAACTATGAGCTCTTTGAGGATGAGCATAATTTGTCACGCTTCAGTGAGACTCCCGCCGTTGTCTCAAACAATATACGAACGCGTGCACGGCCAAAGAGATTCACAGTCGATAACCGATGTACCGACTTTTTCTTTCCGTTTTGCGGCCACAAGTGCACAACATGTACTCAAGTTCAGTGAGGAAGGCGATAGTTTTTTATTACTTTTAGTTGTAATACGATGAAGGTCCATCAAAATAAAAAAGATGACGCATTTATTTTTATTTTTTTTTATTAACTAGAATAATTTACTTTTTGTCACGGTAGAAAAAGGAGAATGTATCTTAACACATGGACTGCACGTGTATTCGTATATATACATAGATATATGTGTGGTAATATAAATCATACATATACTACTACAGACACAATCCTCAATCGAAAGTTACACATAAAAACATTACAAAAATCGCTCTGCTTTTCCTGTTCTTTGTTTCGTTTAAAACATAAAAACTTTTGCGTGTGTGCTTTTTCTCAGTTTTTTATTTTTATCGGCGCTCAAAATTAATTAAAAATTAATTCTTTTCTTCGTGGTACATATAATATATAATATATTATTCTCGTGCTCAAGCAATTCTTCATCTCGTACCATCTATTACGTATATTATTGTTCTTTTTTTTGTTAATTTATACATATACAGCTCGTAGATATTTTTCATTCTGTGTTCGGAAATAATGTGCAGGTATGATCGGCTGCAGAATTTGACCAATGTTGGTTTCGCAGGAGGGAGAAAGTCAGAGTTTCGGAAAAGGAAAAGGAAGAAGGCTGTAATTTTTTCAAGGGATTTTTACTTCAAATCCCTGGGATTAACGGCTCTCTGAGCTCTTACATTTATAAAGTTAAATTTTCATTTAGTTCGACACTCACTTTTTTTTTGTTCAGTTGTTTTTAACACCTAAATCAATGAATCTCTACGTAAACAAACAAATTTTGAGAAAATTCATATACATCTTAGTTTCTTTACCAAAAAATTTGGTCGTTGTAAAAGTTACTCGCGAAAAATGTTTATAATTCTCAAAGATTGTTCGTTACGCGAAAAAATCGATGTATTTAACCGATCGCTTGAGCTTAGTGTCGAAAACAACATTAAAATTGCTCGCATTTATGTCGAAGAGTTCTCATGATTTTTTAAGTACAATTTTTTTTCTAGCGCAATTTTTACTTTCGTGATCCCCGTTCGTTCTTTTTGCTTTCGATAGTTTCCTTCTTCCTCCTCGTCTTCGTCTATCGAGCGTTCTCATAAACATCTCTGTATTAATACAAACGCGACCTAACGTACATTTCTGGCTCTCTCTCCCTTAACTTTTGACCCTTTACAAACAATTTTGTAGTTTCTCATACATCTGCATATTCGAAGCATGCTATGATTCCTTTTTCTCAACTTTTATAATTTATATATTCCCTCATTTTTTCTTTCGAATAACTTTTTCGCACACATAATCCAGCTTTTTAACGCTCCATTTATTGGAAGGTTGTTTACAATGAGCTTCATAACAATCACATTAATTTCTCCCATTCAACGATATTTCTAAATTTCCTCTAAAGAAGAAAAACTCGCGAGCTTTTTTCTATTATATTTTTTTGTATGCCGATGTGAATGAAAAAAATAAATTACCATGCCGCTCGATTGACAATTCTCCTTAACATTTCTTTTTCCGTTTTTTTAATAGTGCTTAAAACGCGTTTACATCCAAATAGATTTTTAATGATTACACAGTAGTAATTTTCTTTCGTGGACGACATTTTCACCAAAAATTTTTTTTTAAATATAATTATAGATTTTAGTGAGGAATTGTTCTTCGCCTTTAATTTTGATTAATCAATTTATATGCCAATTTTTGATGCTATACTTTCGCGTGCCCGGAAAACTAGATACATTTATAGATATAAATTTCCTTTACAAAGAGCAATTTAGCCAATCCTTATATACGATAATATATACTTAAAATTTAAAATTTAACATAGACGATAGACTTTCGATTTTCACACTATGTAAAATAGAAAGAACTGAAATCGTATGCACATGAGTCACGCGAAAGTAAGCTCTATATATTTATTTTCATTATACCAAATTTATACCTTTTTTTCATTAAATTTTTAAATCCAAAAGTTTCTGCATGCAAAAGAAAAAGATGCGTGCATTTTCGAACGATATCAATGTCATTTAAAAAGACGATCTCTCTGTGTTCCTGTAATTTTCGCCTCTTGGTTCTTATATCGAAAAAATCACAAGAAAATACAACGGCAACAACGGTTCTTTTTTAATCAAACTCTCATTAAGATAAACACAACTAAGAGAGAATTTGGAATTTTTTTTTCAAGCACTCTGTTGCCCTTTAACAAATGAGCAATTTATTGATAACAACTATTAAAATTTGCATTCACTCGATTTTACAATATTTACGAAAAAAATTAGCGAACAGAAGTGTTACAATTCATCACAAATACAATTGTTAAGCATTTGAACTAACACAATCGTAAGCTACTCATGAATTAACCCATACGTAAACATACAGTTGTATCTGCTCGAAAAAAGTTGACATATACAGATGATTACTGCTCATCGCAGACACACGTTTCTATTTCTTTTATGCCCGTCGTAATTTTTCTTGAGATTATATGAAGCGTTCATTTTCGAAAAATCTTTAAATACATGAATAAATACATAAAAGGAAATCAAATAAATCCCGTCGCTCCTTTTAAAATTTCCAGATTAATTTTATTTTATTAATTTTTTTGTGGTTGTTGTAAACTTATGTCCATTTTTAACGTTTTCGTACCACTTTATTATTACGTTTTCCTGCTATTGTTATCTCACAAATAAAAATATAAAAAAGTACGCCTTACAACACAAGTATCGCTTGTACTATAAAGCCAGTCGCACACTTTCGCAAACAAACATCCAAATAATGCTTACATATCATGGGACAATTTAATTTTTCTTTTTATTTGTCGCTATCTATAGCAACCGATTTAAAAAAAGCAATATTCATCATTTATGTATGGAACTATGAGCACGTTTTTCACATTATATTTTCTGTATAATATAATATTTTTAAGCATTTTTTTCGGTTAAACTTTTCAACTATTACAATATAATACGTTCAAGTTTATTAACACGGACGAATTACTTTAATAATCTTGTTCTAAATCAAAATTATATCAATACTATTGGATTCGCATGGCTATTTTTTAGTAAATTTAAATTTACATGTAAATCGATAGATATATATCTCTCAAGTAAAAAGAAGTGTATACTATTGTACATATCATTGCTACATATAACAAGTTTAAATGCATTTTAAAATGAGAAAAGAATAAACAACAAGGAAAAAAGACATTTGCATTAATTAACTACAATTCAAAGGAATAACAGTTATTGTTGATATTGAATTGAATCAACGCGAAATGTTCGTTTAATAGAATTATAAAGAACGCATAACTATTGCAGTTTCATCATTTCCCATTACTATTCTTTTTTTTCATATTTTTTCTTCAGCACTGTTTTTATCAATAGTAATTCTTTCAATAATGTAAAGATCCGAGTCTATTGTAACAACTATTGCACTTATGATTTGCTGTAACTGTAATATAATTAACTGTGAATAGAAGAAAGACTGTCAATATTTCTTAATAATTATAATGTTTTTACAAAGGTACTTTTAATGCCTTCTATTTACGTCTGTTATTTTTTAATTATCACTCCTTTCATCACATATATGTTCAACAATCATACGTTATACTTCACTCATACTTTTATTTTCATTAGAGAATATGTAGTACTTGAACTTTGTATTTAATAATAAATCATTTAATTGGTGTGAAAATATATGACGTTTATGTGTAATGTATATAAAAAAATACTTTTTAATTTGTATTAGTATTTGTATGTTTTCTTCATGGTTCGTATTTGAGTGGAGTGGCATAAATTTTTTAATATATGTATATTCATCGGAAAAATGCGTTATAAGTGCGACTTAATGAATTAATTCGAATGTTTTTCGACTTAGTTGAATAAAAATTTATATTGAAAAATTCAATTTAATTATTCAATTTAATTAATAGTAACAATCGCTATTTTCGTAGAACTGTTTACTCGCTTTTCTTTTTCATTTTGCTGTTTTCTCTCGTAAAAACTTTTTTCTCTTTTAGCTGAAAAATTTTCGGATACAAGAATGTCTTCTATTTTTAAATAGCATCGGGCAATTCCTCACGTTTTTTCGCGTACTAAATTTTAAAAACCAAACTTTAGTTGGAGCTGTCCTTCCAGAAGACATTGAGAGTAGCAAATATCCATCCAAAAATGTTGAAATATATATTTAGTAAAAATTAAGCAGATTTCAAGTTGAGTTTTATCAAAGTTTGAAAATATTTTATTTTCTTGAAATCAGTTTTTTTTGTCCGAATTTTTTTGGCTTTTTGATTAGTCAGTTTATAATTTTTTTTTGCGGACGCGAAAACTTTTTTTGAAAGTGTAATTTTGCATCTGGAGGGAAGCCACCTACTATTTTTAGTGCCTTAATGCCTATTTTTATGATATTTTTTTATTACTTCTTGTACTAATGATTATCCGTATATGTAATATGTTTAGTAGAAAGCTATTACATATTATATCCACTAAAAAAAAGAAACACCGTATATATTTTTTTAAAAAGATTCCACCAAGAATAGTCAAACTCACGCGCTTCTGGAAAAGGAAAGAGAAGTTTTTAAACTTTTGCTGTATTTATTTCTTTCAATTTTTTAAAACGGAATTTAGTAGAAAAATATTTTCACCGCAATCAATATAAAATGAAATTTAATTTATGTTTTAACGTTCTCTCTTCGATTTCCTTGCCTGAACTTTTCTTAATTTATATCGCGGTGAATCTGTGTTCCTAAAACCATCGACAATTTCAATTTCCGAATTCCGAGAGAAAAAAAATGTTGCTCCGTAGAGTCACTTTGGGCGGAAAACGAATTTTTTGCTGAACCGAAAACTAGTCAATGAATGGAAAGATCAATGAAATCTCTCGAATTTTTTCAATCGGCAATCATTATCGAGGACAAGAACTAGCAGTAAATAAGTAGGTATTTTATACCAGAAAACATTAATAGTAGTGGGTAGGTTATATATGTATGAGAATTCACGTGTAGAATAGTAATGATTATCAAGTATATGTTTTAACTAAAAATAGAGAAAACAATTATTGTGAAGAATTATCTCGTAAATTTGGGACTCGCCGGGCAATTAATTTTTCTCTCACACACGTTGAGTTTTTTTATCCCCCTTAAACTACCTAGAAACATCTAATGTAAGTAATCTCAATCAATAAACATCCCATCAACGAATTCTCGAGACGAGTCCCCGGGCGAAAAAGAATATATCAAAAAAGACAAAAAAAAATCATATAGCAGCTGTGCTAAGCAAATGCAGAGCAGTCCACGATCAGAGGTTGTCTCTGTCGCTTAACCTGCGTACTATTATAAAAAAAGTATTAAACAAAAAATCTTAAGCATCAATTATTAAAAGTATCAATAAATGATTAAGTAGTGTTGTGGGCCGACGTCGTATCGAGGCCCAGCTATTATCGACTATTACTTATTTGTTAAGCCATTCATAATATTTTAATATGCATGCAACCATTGTATATTCCAATTACACATTTTTCCAAGTATTTTTTTTTTGTTTTCCATTTATATTAGAGTAAATATGCTCGGTGTGAATTCGGGCAATGGTCCGCAGCGTTGTGCTGGGTTTGCGCGCAATGTCCTATTTTAGTTAATTAGCCAATTTTTTTTATCCTTACTTATTTAGTGTGTTGAAGACATATACAATATATGTTTTTTCTTCTCTATTCTATAAGTTTTTTAGCATATTAGTTTTACTGTCAAGTGTTGACTTTTCTGGCATGCGGTGACTGAATTCATACTGTATTTTTATTCGATAACTTTGATGCACTTTTTCATAGACGATTTTATCTTGCTTTTTTATGCTAATATCTAAACTTTGAATTCCTTTATACTTGTCGAGCAAAAAAGGAAATTCCGCGTTTTTTGCCTCCTTCGTATCTGGGTTTGCTAATTTGTGATAGACCGGGGAGAATTATCGTGCAATTTTGGGCTTTAGTATTAATGATTGAGTCGACAAATTCTTTTGTCTTCATTTGTACTTAACTGATCTCCTAGCTTTCCACGTCAAAATTCCAGTTTGGAAATAGCCCAATTAATTGATACTTGAAGTAGTACTTTAATGTACAAATATATCTGTTCATACCTCATTCTCGCAAGCTTAAATATATTTATTTTACGCATTAATAAAATTGTATTCTTTTATAACATCAATTAATGTGAGTTTTTTATATTATTTCAAATATTTAATATTTATCATTAAAGTTTAACTATTGTAATTATGTATACACGTTTGTACAATTCTATAACCGACTATTTACAAAAAAGTGGATGATTGTTGTAAATATATTTATGTATTACCAATTCACGCGGATTTGTTTTAATGCCCATTTTTCGGCGACACTGATTTTATCGATGATTAATGATAGTTTTTAAAGTAAAATCGTTTAATATTTCATTTAATATTTCATTTAATATTTTATTTCATCAATGTTTTTGTGTGTACCGATTGTATATATCACCCGGAAATTATTTTTATTCTGTCTAACGTATCAACAAATGCCCTCACTGAGTACTTTGTATATAAGGCCTTATTTATTTTTCAAAAAATGCATTTCAACAAAATACTGATGCGTATGCACCGAAGCACGCATGTGCAAAGCAATGACTACTTTTAAAATAAAGCGATTCTTTCAAAGCACCTCAGCAGTTTTAGAATACATAAGAAAGAAACAATCACTAACACTAAATCCCAAATTTAATGTTTGATTACAATAATATTTAATGATTTATTCTCTTGGCTACTTTTTATCACTAGAATCACTTAAAATTAGCAACCATTAATCGTAGGCAATGCGTGACTCGAAACTATCAATAATAGAACGATATCACGATTATTTTCTCGGAAAATCCCTTATTCTGCTTTTAGACTCGCGATAAAGGTAACTTTCGTTCAATTTGATTATTAGCGTTAAAACGTTGCTCGACTGTTTTCGTCACAGATTGCAATTCAAAGTACCGAGGTGTACCGCTGAACTTTTTTTGTTTTGTTTTGGGTAAGATGACTGTGTGCATGTTTTGTATGTTTATTTGATTTAGCAAATATACCGGTAGTCGGCATCGAGCTTCTGCATAAAAGTCTCAGTGAAAAACTTCCGGTTCACTTTCATTTCTGTATTTGTTTTGTAATTAGTAGTTTTCTTTTTGTGCTGCTTGATTAGGTCGCGAATCGCGTAGCTGTTACGCGTTAGACGCGTCGATGCTCGTTCTGTTCTGATCTGACTGACTTTTTAAGGCTCGTTTGATCTCACAATTTTGGCAGGTTTCGTTTCATTTTATTTACTTTTTACTCTTTTTTATTTAAATTGGGCTTCGGGATTCCGTTGATGCAATTGATCATGGATTAGCTGGTAATTTTATTGTACGCACTGCGATCGATCCTGGACGGAACGAAGTTACACCCGAAGTCACCCCGCTCCAAAAGATAAAAATTTTTCCCTCTGGAAATGTTTCTAAAATATACGAACGATATCCTTTTTCCTAACAGAAGACGCGATGGCATTGCAGCCGTCTCGAGAATTTTTAAATACTTTTTCTCCTTTCGTTAAAAATTTCGCTTTCAATAGACTAACATTTATGCTTTAGAAATTAACTGAATTTGTACATTCGTTATTTCACGGCAAATTCTTGACCGCGTTAAAGTTAAATTTCTTTACAATTCTTAGAATCATCTACAACTTTAAAGACTCTCCATTATACGCTCTTTCTAAAATTACTATATTAATAATTTTTCTTTTTAATTCCATAAATTTAAATTTTTTACGCGCCACTACAATCACAAATTTTATTTTTTTTATTTGTACAAAAAATTTAGTTGTTTATCTCGAGCATGATTGGATTTTAATTAGCGAAAATGTATGTTTTATATTTTTAATTTGTCGATCCTACGACTTTGTTTAGCATGCGTAAGAAATTTTGAAAATTCTATTCTACTTCCAAAAATATTTAAACCTTCGTCCTTTTTTGAGATTTTTAAAAGCAATAAAGCTTCTTATGTTTTATGTCTTATAATTGCTTAATAACTTACAAACTTTTCGAGGAAAAAGAAATCGTCGAACGCGACGAACGAACGAGCACGTTAATTGGTCGGAAAATGCGCTGTGCATTTATTTTTCTTATTCATATTTTTTAAATGTATTTTGGGTTCGAGATGATGTTAGCTTCTCAGCTCCTTTTTTCACGTATATAAAAATAGATCTGCTTTTTATTTATAAAGGTCCAGATCAAAAAGGTAAAGGGGGTTTTGGGAATGATACAAGTTGCTCTCATTTTTCTTCTCTTCACCTACAATGCTCTTTCTTTTCTTCCTCCACGTCGAAAGACAGTATCTGTTTTTTTTTCCTAGAGGAGCCTTAATGATTTTTTTCCATTGTTTTCAGTTATGTACCGGTTACTTTTAAAGTGTTGAATGTAGAGTAAGAAATGTTCTTTCATTTTTTTGTTGATTTACTTGCTGTATACGGAACTTGTGAGATATGCGTTCACGCGCCGAGTTTACATGCCCGACAGCTAAGATAAATTTTTATTTCTCCTTAATCCCTTGGCACTTTTGTTAATCAACTTAATTTTCACTTTTAAAATTTTCTCATGGTACTTTTAACTTTTTCTTACGTATTTAGTATTTCAATATTCTTTCTTTTCTCTGAGTTTTTTAAATATTAACGCTCGATAAATATACGGCAAGTGTATGAGGCCGGAGACGAAAACGTGCACGCGAACGTTTAAGTGTGCTCAATTAATTCAGTTAGTAAAAAAAAAAAAAATAAATAAAGTTAAAAAATCACCACTATGATTAGTAACTAAATAAAATATTTCTCTACGTGAGACGCTCGTCTGCGGCCTCGCGTCTCACCATTTTTTTGTGAAATATAATTAGATATATTATACAATTTGTATATTCCGCCTTCGAAAAATGCCCATTCGTACCCGCGGCGCTGCGGCCATAGCAGTGCAAAAGGCTGCTTTGCCGAGCGCCGATTCCAGCGGCAAACATTCGCATTTAACAATCGTACCGACACACAATCTCAGACGCTCTCTCACACACGCACAACTATAGACTATTTATATATTCTTTATTAATGAAAGAGCATCACTCGCGCAATTTTATTTAGCATAATTGCTTTACACAGGCACATTCTTTAACGAATAGCAATTAGATTTATCTCATTCGCGCCCTAATTCGAGACCATTATTTTTTCTTTTAAATATCGTTAAAATTCATCAAGTACTTTAAAAACATCTAACAAAAATCGAAAAAAGAAAGATTAGCTTCAGATCTTTCCAACAATGTATCAAAAATAAACTTATTATATTCATAGCACTTCGCTCCCCTTGCATTCCCTATAACTCCCGTTTATTTTATTTTTTTACATACACGTATCTTTGTTATTTCTTTATTTAAATTTCTAATTCTGCACGCGTTCCCTTGCGATAATACATCATAGATAAATTATACACGCGATTTCGCGAGAAAGAGTGGAGAGAGACTAAAACTTGAAAAAGTTGACGTTCATTATTTTCATTTAACGTTACTTCTCCTTTGTTTGTGCTCGTTCATCTCTCCGTTTCTAATATATTTTTATTATGACATTTCCTCTCTCCCCTGTTCCCATTTAGTTTCGCGAATCTGCATAATCGCTTGACAAATTTTCTGTACTCGATACATACCGAATATCGCGAACTTTTTTGTTAAAAGTAATTGCGAACTCAAGGAAAGTGGAAGGGGCCTCGTTAATTGGAATTCCTGTTATTGATTTTCCCTGGAAAGAGAAAATTTGTGCATGTCCGTATTTTAGTGGAAGATCCGGCAGGCCGTGGAAGCTCGCGAAAATTTTCCATCTTATCGTTCTGAGTTTGTAGCATTCTGGCCAAGTTAAAACAAGTTTACGTGGGTAAATAATGTTTATGGCCGGTCCATGTCAGACAAATCAAAGATAGTGATGAAATTTTATTTTGTTAACGAGCATCTTACGGTTTATTGTAGTCAGTCCGATATTTTTTTCTTCAAAATAATTTTTTTATTATTTGATTATTATTATTATTATTTGATACCGACACGGTATTTAGTTGAAAACCTAGAAGGTTTCAAGCTTTAGCATTGCGGTCATATTCATTGAACCTCTAGTTTTGTGAGAGATTGTAATTAATGAACGAAACCTATCGCGCACCTTCTTGAGTTATTTTTTTTATTATGAAAACTTTTATTTAAACTCTTATAACAATTATTTGTTCTTTATGAAAGATGTAATTTTCTTTCGACTCTACAAAATTATTGTGACACGTTAGTGTATTTGTTATAAATATGATTAACCATGAACGCGCCAACCTAAATCGATAAATTATTTTTTATTCATCAACATATTCACATTCACGCACTAATTACATTCATGGTAAAGTAAAAATCGCAAAGATTTTTTAGTAAATGACTCAACGCGCTTATTCTAGTAATCGAATCCATAAAATGTCTTTATCGCGTGCAAAATTTCAGTTTCGTACCAAAAGTGGTACTAACGTAACGCTACGTTATAAATCTATTCTCTTCCACTTCTGCGATCTCAATCGAGTTTTCGCAAGGAACTTCACTTATACGAAAAAAAAACTTAAAACCGCTTCTTTGGTATTACGGCGCGAGGCTCGGCTCTATTATCGCTTTCTCGCCGGAGCCTCGTCCTTCCGCCCCTTTTCTTTTTCAATTTTCTTCTCGTAAAATTCTTATATTCTACGCTTCGTGGATGATGATGATGACGACGATGATCTTCTTTTCTTTCACTGGAAAATGGCATGGCGGTTGTTTTTCTTCTTTTTTCCATTTTTCTGATATATTCCTTACGGTTGCAATGAAAACTAGCTGAAGTGGTGCTGAATATTCACTTTTTCCTGGATTCGTACAAACTTTGTGCAATAATTGATGGCGGCGATCGGTTGGCAGTATCAACATGTGATTTTTTTTGATTTTGTCCAATTAATCAATTTAGTATAATTTTTTTTTTCAAGTTTTTGATGGCGCAGTTTCACAGTTTTTTTCTTATGTATCCAAAGCAATAATTCCAACAACGTTCCAGAACAATAGAATGGTTTACAGTAGCAGTTGCTTGCTCGTATGACGAGACCGTTTTGTTTTTGTTTATCTTAGGTAAAAATGTTTGAGTGATCTGTAACCTCATACACCATTTGCTTGTTCGAATTGTTTAAATGCTGAGCGTGTGATATCTCTTATAATCAACATGAACAAATCATCCAGGTCCAAGGTTGTTTCTTTTTTCTTCTTTTCTAACCTCGGCCGAAGCGTGAATCGCTGATGGCCACCGTTGAATGCGTTTTAACACAGCCTGCGCGTTGTTTTAGGCTGGCGAGAAAGAAAAAAGAAAACACTTGACACGTTGTTGCAAAGTTGGATTTAGCTGGGTGTTTCTCAATGTCTTGTCGAATATCCGAAGGAACGAAAGGGGCCCAGGCCGAGGTATACGGACGAGCTTCGCGCATCCGCTGAGGTTACCGTTGTTGGATATATCGTTAACTAATCTTGCATACATAATTTATATAACACACACGTAAACGTAGCAATAATGTGTATATATATAATATATATAAATATATATTTATATATATATAGATAATAATAATAATATATTCAATCAACTGCCGTCCCTAATTCATCATCGTTGAATATCCGTTCTTCGCAAACTGCGTACACATATACATATATCCTAGCTCCTCTCTTCTCGCAAGTTTCGCGTCAACGCGTTTTAATAATAATAATAATAATAAACGAGTTTTCTTATCCCACTTTACGAGGGCAATATCTATTGGCTCGGTTGAGCTTGCGGCTGAGCTAAAGGTTGCGACGAGGTCGACGAGTTGCTCGACTGTTGCTGCTGGGGCGTTGCGCAACCACCGGGCTGAGACGTCGCACTGTCGTCCCTGCGAGAGCGGACGCCACCGTCTTGACTGCTGCCACGACCAGCACGAGTTCCGGGCATGCCCGTGCCAGCCAAGCCGGGGATACCAGTCACGCTGCCGGGTGCACCGCCTGGAGCGAGTACCATTTGACGAATTCTGCGCTGAGCCGACTGACATTTGCAAGAGAAAAAAAATCGGTTAAAATCGCGTGCATTATTGGGTGCAACGAAGAACATCATCGATCAGTAAAATGTTACCTGGACGGAGAAAAATGGACCGATTATGTGGACCGTCGTCTCTTCGTCTGCGCTCGGTGGAGTTGATTGCTGTTCCGACAACTTGATGACGCTGCCGGTAACCCGTTGCAGTTCACGAACATTCTGACCACCTTTGCCAATGATTCGGCCAACTTGTGACGATGGTACTAAAATTTCCACCGTTAGTCTTACATCTTCGGAGCCAGAGATGAAACCTTCTTCCCTCATTTTTTCAAAGATGAGGTATTGAGCCTGAGGAAAATAAAAACAAATTATAATTTGACTTTTCACTGAAATCGTTGAAATGTATTTTGTACAAACAAAAAGTCAGCACAAAAACATAATTTAATGAAAGAAAAAAAAATGTCATTGGGTTAAACGGAGCTCGTTCTCACAGAGATACATGCGACAAGCACGGGACCCATATTTTAGTCTTCCTGATTCTTCAAGTGGCAACCTAGAGATCAGCAGCCACCCAAATGTCACAGGTTTCATGCGCGCGCAACTCGAGACTTTTTTTTCTTTTTTTATGTTGGGAATCGAACCCAACGTATCGAGATGTATAGGCGGAAACTTTCACCGCTACGCTATGCTCATGAATACAACCAGGTGCATGCGGAACGCTCATAATAAGTTCGTAGCATTGAATTGAATCATCTCACGAAAGTTAGGTTTTGTTACAAAAATTAAGTTACAAAGCATAAGTGATTTTAGGTGTTAACGAGAGAAAGCGGAGAAACGAATCAATGACTTACTTTCCACTGAGACTCGGGCGAGCCGACAATCGTGACTTTCCTATCGGAAGTCTGATCATTGGGTTTGTCGATTTCCAGAGGAGCGATTTTAACGCTGGCACCAGAAAATCGAATGATATTCCTAATGTGGGAACCTTTGGTACCGATGATGGCGCCGACGCTGCTATTAGGTATGTAAAGATACGTCGTCTCCTGTGCGTCACTCGTCGGAACTCCTTGCTGGGCCGGCAGGGTACCTTGGTAGGGATACGGGGTCGGACCGGCGCTGTATATGTTGGGTCCGCGCGAGCTGTATCCCATGCTCGCTGTCGACATCATAGCCATGGGGTGAAGGCCGGGAAACATCATGCTTTGTGGCTGCGATACATTCTCAAATTAGTTAACATGAAAGAATCAGTAAAGAGTAAATATGAATTATGCCGAATGTTGACAATGTCGAGGACACGAAAGGACACGACGGCAAAGTCCGAGGGGTCGAGACGAATCCGTTCTCGTGTCCTGGCTTTTAAACTATTCCTGCTTCATACAAAGACAAGTGAAGTGAGCGAGATAAGGACTATCGTCGAAAGCTCGCAAAAGGAAGCGAAAGGCTGAAAGCCCGAAGCAAGTCTGATAAATTACGAGAAGACGTGTACTCACAGCCATGGCTTGGAGATCGTTCTCGTAGCTCTGTCTGAGCTTGTTGGAGATGAGCGACTCGGCGCGGCTCATATTCTCGATGCTGCCCTTGACAGTGATGATGCGCTCGAGGTTGAAGCTGTTGATGTCGTTGATGCTGCTGACGGTGATCTTGGTATCGGTATCCTGCATGATCCTCTTGATGGTGTTGCCGCCCTTGCCGATAATGCGGCCAATCAGATTGTTGTGCGCAAGGATTTTCAGAGTGATCTCGCTGGAATTGCCAGAAGAGACATTTTGGAAATCATCTTTTTGAGTCTGGTTGTTAGCAGCGGCTAACTCGTCGGCCTCGCTGGCGACGTCAGCGGCCGACGTGGCTTGCGACTTATTGTTGGTCGCGTTATTAGCGTCGGCCTGCTCGACGTTGGCGCCAGTGCCGGCCTCTTGCTGTTGCTGCTGTTGCTGCTCTCCAGCAGCCCCGGCATTGTTCGAGTTAACCGACTGCTGTTGCTGTTGGGATTGCTGCGATTGCGGCTGCTGCGACTGCTGCTGATTGTCAACTGACCCCTTATTGGTGTTGCTGGCCTCGTGGTGCATCACCTCGAGGATCTTGCGGCAGGCGTTCGTGCAGTTCTCCGGGTTGCCGTAGATCGTGATGGCTTTCTCGAGCGAGCCGACGTTGTCTTTGCGGTGCACGTCGACGCGGGCTCTCGTCATCTGCGTGATCTGGCGTATGGTCGAGCCCTGGCGGCCGATTATCGCGCCGACCATGTCCGACTGTACGAGGATCCTCAGCGGGAAGTCCGTCTGACGACCGGTGCCCGGCAGGCCCGAGAACGCCACGCCTCCGCGCTGACCGCGACCGCGACGCCGACTTTCCGCCGTCGACATCTCCACTTTCAGCGGGCTACCCTCGTACTCGTAGCCATTCAGCTGACCCGCCGCCCTGCAAAAACAAACGACATCGTTAATATACTCTGCTCGGTTTTTTTCTGCTTTTCATTCAAATGTTTTTGTTATTTTACACGAGACAAATACAAATGGTATGCGCGCTAGCTGCACAGCCATGTACAACTTTTTCCAGTTTCGACCCAATTTTTATGCCTTTCATTTTTATGACACAAATTACATTTAAGACAGACATTTGTGAGGGATGCAATTTTGTACCTGTGACACTGGGTCGATCCTACACGATAGGCTTCGGAGGAGGCCCAGAATCCAATTATTATTTCTCACTCCTTGTACCATCGCGAGCGATCGATCGCTTAGGTTTTGCCCGTAGCGACAAGTTATGACCAGATACAAATGATGCAAACAATACACTGAATAATGAAATCTTGGCCCGGTTAAAAATGAAGAGGATTGACATTGTTAAGAACAGAGAAGAATTGGACTCTCGGGGGTATGTCGATGCGGTCGAACAAGGCTGATTATAATAACCCGATCCGAGTGAATCGTATAAAGTGCGGATTGAAGAAGAGATGTGGGGAGAATGACTACATAGAGAAGACGTTTGTGAAGAGATATGCGTGCGTTTCTTGAGATGGTAACATAAGACTTACTGCTGGGCCTGTTCTGACGACTCATAACTGACGAGAAAGGCTTGGGTGCTAGTATCACGCGACTGCGCCTTCTCGAAGCTTTGTATTTGTCCGTAAGTCGATAGTAGCTGCTCCACGTCCTCGAGTCTGACGTGAGCCGGCAGATTAGCCACTTGTATCTTTGTCCCCGATCCGCCGCTGCAATCAGGGAAAAAGCAATGCGCGCAATTTTATTACTCCGAAACTCTGAGATGAGACTCGACAAAAGCTATTGAACAATTTCAGAAAATTCTCTACTGAGATTCGGTCGCTCCGATTATCGGAGCGACGCGTTGGACTTTACCAGATTTACAAGTAAGTAAGTCTTTGGAAGTTTCGATCCACTTTTAAGCGAGATCGCGTCGTGGATATATTTGCCGAGAACCGCAAGTGGTGCTTTAGATTGAATCACACCCTTTTATCGGTCCGACAACGACAAGTATAGATTCCAGTGGACAAGCTGACTTTAACTACGTTCAAAAATAATCAATTTCACTCGTAAGCAGGATTGTAACTACTAAAAAAGCAAGTGGGCACGTACGCATTGGTATGATCAATACGTTAGTACATAAGAAGGAGTCGAGCAACAATATGTTAACGAGACTCCCACATGAACGGACTAGAAAACTTCTCAAAATTGCCAACAGCGCTTGTACAGCAGCGGTATAGAGAACACTAGGCCAGCACCTTGAAAATCCAGCATAGAACATATGTCAAAAAAAGGGGCGACAGTAGCTGAATAAGTAAAAGGACAGATCGAGACGGAGAGAAAGAGAGAAGGGCATAGAAACAGGAGTACTGCGCACGTTGTATGCTGTGCGCCGCGTGCACACGCATGCGAAGACGGCGCGCGGGTGCGGAGGCGAAGGCGCAGTTCATGCACACACACACACACACACACACACACACACACGATCAGTAGCATAGAAAAAGAGAGAAACTCAAAAGGACTGTGTGTAATATAGCGGAGAGCCAAGTTACAAGAAAGAAAAAGCCAACACAAAGCGCACACATATGTGTATAGACGTAGACGGAAGAAATCGAGTATGCGTAGACATATACGTTGGGCAAAACTTCAAGTAAAACGCCCGCTTCTATAGGTCTTGATCTTCGCACACGCATAGGTTTAGGTAAGTATATTATATAAAGGGCTAACTTTCGCTTTCAGCGCTAGGCCAGGGGGCTTATCGTTTTTACTTATACCTATAGTGAAACAGAGGGAACCTTTCATTCTTACTAGAGAACCGTTGCTTTTTTCCGATACTGCTCTGCGAGCAACAAGACTATGATATTAAAGAAACTCTTTGGAAATTCCGTGTCACGTAGTTCGCGGAACTCTATACTTATTATCAATGGAGGGCATAATTTGCAGTTTAGCATATGGCTTGTGGCCTTGAGCCTTTCCCGTAAATGTAAATGGCCATTGGAAAATACTGCTAATACAATTTTTCTCGATTTTATAAACAGCTGTCATTAGGCCAGTGAAATGAATTGCTTATAAGAAGAATAATCTGTTTACACGTTGGAGTTTGCTCGAAAGTATGTACAAAAATTGGCCATTTGTCGAAAAGGGAAGCAACAGCGTGGGCGAGGGTGAATGAGCCGCGTAGACCCTTCTGTTTCAGAGATTTCTTTATTTTCGTTTGGAAGCATACTCAGCAATTAACGGTGCTCATTCGAAAAGTTGCGAAGCAGCATTTATTTTTTTTCGACGCACTCACATCGATTCTTTTTTGTATTTTTACCCTATTTTCAATCGTATACACAGCACACACGTGGTCATTTTTTTTGCGGCTCATTATGTACGCAATGGTTTGTTTGTAATCAATGAGGCCGAGTCAAAAAAATGAAAACCAGCATGTTTACAACAAAAAAGCATTAACAACTAGTAAAGCCAGAGTAGCTGCAAGACAATTACGCCTCAAAGCGATCGGTTTAAAAATTTCGTACAATACTTAAACTTCTGCAATGTACAGAGCAGTGGATACACATTTTTAGGGTTGAAAGAGAGAAAGAGAGAGAGAGAGAGAAAGGACATAAACTAGCCTTAAAACATCTATGTCGAACAGGGAAAGTGACTGTGTGCAGTGACGTTCAAGCCTGTATGTGCGTCCGTGTGTGAATCAGTAGACGCTGAATCGAAGTTTCATATTCGGTATATCTCTCTCTCGCACGCGAAAATCTTCGTATGATAGTAAAAACATACTGCACTTTTGAATACACATTACATAAGCAGCGTATGTAGATTTAACGGTACAACGGCACCGAAGCAGTTCGCAGGTGCATATACACTCACGCACGCATTTATCGATGTCTCAATGAGGTGCGTGCACATTTAATACACTCGGGCTTTACTCGTGCGCATGATATTATATTATGCAATGTCGGAGCTTGCTACTATATACTACTGTTACAACTGCAGTAACAACTGGCGGTACTACTATACTCTTTTATATGCTTTACTATAACGACTTGTACTGGCTACAGCTTCTGATGCTACGTATATACATTTATTATGTAGATTATGCTCGTCGCGACGACTAATGATTGCAACTGAGCACTCGTCGCGCTTTTCTCTATTTTTTTTTGCAATTTACCGTGTCTACGCGCATACTATATACAAACTCATACTCACTGCCTGACTCTCACGACTTGCACAATCAACGAGGCATACGATACGTTATACAGGACAAGTCTCGACGCGATATTGACGCGATAATCCTCTTTTTGCTTGGCATACATTTTTATGTATTTCTTTGGGATACTTTTTTATAGAAATACATTTTTCATTGATAGCGAGAGGCATAGGTAACGCTATGCGTTCAATTGATACAATTATGAAGCGCGTGTAGATCGGAAAAGGTGCGCGAGTGTGAGATAGGCCACGAACATCGATCGGGACGGGCGACAGTTGCCGGTGCCTTCTTTAATGGAATCGATTGTCCATTTTAAGTGATAAAATGGCTCGATTGTCTCGAACGAGACAATACTCATATATATATAAGCTAAAAGTACGATTACACGATAGGGCGGAAGGTAAAAAATACGATAAAAAAGCCGCCCGATTTATAGATATGGCAAAATGGGTCCTCGACACGAAATCGCTTCATAGCACGAGGTTGTGATATTCGAATATTCGGACTACGAAGAACATACGTCTATATGTGTATATTATAAACCATCGACGCCAACAAAAGTTTATATTACCTGCAAAATATAGCACCGATTCCAAACATAAAAGTTACGCGTGTAACGAATAGACATAGTTTAGTCAAAGATGATGCCTCACACCAAGAACAATATATTTATTATCGACTTTGCATGCATTAGTGCATGAGTTGTATTTGTTATCGCACTGTGAGATATACGCGATGAACAACTACCACGCAGCGACAGTAGTTGATCGAATCTTGTACGAAAAAAAAGATACACGCTCGAATATCTCGTATGACACGAATGCTGCGCGGTGCCATTCAACCAACTCCACTCTTTTTCATCTCTCGGCTTTGAGAACGAAAAAAAATTAAATTATTTTGCTTGAAGATAGCTATTAATAGCTCGGATCACTGATCTGTCTCTCTCTCTCTCTCTCTCTCTCTTTCTCTCTCGTTCTTGCCGTGCAATTTTGCGACTCGTATTTGCTGCGCGGGCGCAAGCACCAACTGAATATTTAACCAAGTATATTTTCAGATTTCATTCTGTTAAGTCGGCTTTTAATGGACGCGAATATGTCATTGCATAGGAATTTATTTTCTCGCTCGCTTTCCGTCTCTCTGTAACGCGCGCCGTGCAGTCGCTCAGTCCCTGTTTGTGTGCCACAGCTATCCTCGTTATATATGGTCCGATCAACAAATAACTTGCTCTCACACATTTGTACGGCCAATTCCATTTGTCACAAGTAATAAGACGCGGCAGCAGCAACGGCGCATCGGAAACGCATGGAAAACTCGCCCCCGCGCCAAACGGCGACGAGCATTTTATTTTTACGCGCCGGGCGTCGCTGCTGATTTTTCGATATACATCCAGCTCGCCTCAGCCCAAATAGCTGCGGCTGCGGTTCCGTCAGCTCGTTAGCTTTTTTACAGCTTCGGCGTGGCTGTAGCTATAAAAGCCTATACATTAAGCGTATACGAGCGATGAAAGAATATGAGCGAGCTTCGGGATTGAAATTGTTACACACGTAGCTCGAGCGGAGAAAGAAAGAGACGCGATGCTATAGTGCGACGAATGGAAGGAAAAAAAGAGAAATAAAATTCAATGTATGAGTGTGCGCGCATAGTGAGTGAATCATACGCCGCAACGCACTGCTCTTATATGTATGTATATACAGTGCGCATGAGACTGTATTTTATAGCATATATACAGGCGAGCGAGGCGGTGGCGGCTCCGTCACGACGCCGTGCTATTTATGACGTCAACGGAAGTAAACGCGATACTTTCTACTTTATATTACTCCTCGTTACGTCGTTGTCGTTCTCATGCTCGATTAGAAGAAGCTCCGATTATTAATATATAATCGCCCGACGTTTGTTTCTCGCGCCTCGCATATTATTAACTTCAAGAGCCTATACATTAACGTCGTGTGGAGCGATGAATCGTTAGCCTGAAATTTGATGAATCGTCGATATCTATAAACGAAGTTTCAACGGCGTATATAATACAGCCAAACAAGGACAAGATGTCAATTACGGGCAGATATGATATACGCACCAAGTACAAATGTACCGGACGGCTATGAAGAAACAATATCAATCTTCGCGTCACACAGCAGCTGACTGTACTTAGTTTTCCACGCGCATATGCCGCCTCTTCCCTTTTTTTTAAAAATAGCACGCGTATATTTCTTATCGTTCACGCCAGGCCATTCGATCAATCACAGAAATCGTGAATTATTGCCATATTTAGAATTCCTTGATAAATCAGGTACACGAGTAATAGCGATCAAGTCACTGCGATAGCGTTAATGAACAAAATACGGAGCATATGCACAGACACTTGCCCCATAGATAATGAATTTTTTTCGTAAAATCGAGGTTAAGAGAAAGTATTTTCTTTGCCTTTAGAATCAACTTGCCAACCGACGTAAAGGTTGCCCCTCATGCACATGCATTTATAAATAAATTGCATTCTCGCAAGAAACGTATTAAACGTTCGGGAAT